CTTCAGTGTTGAATGACCACTGAGTCTGCTTGCTATGGACCCAATCCACAGACCTTTTGTTGTGTGCTAGAGCAGAGGGAGGGTGGTCCTTGGTTGGGCAGTGTTTGAAGACATAGGCACCTTAGCATGCTCGCCCCTCCCATCTTCAGACGAGTCAGCATTGCACTGTAGGCCTTGCTGTGAGGTAGTCCTGGGACATCAGCTGTGTCTGTTTTCCACTTTCCAGGTCCCCTGCAGCTTCCTTTATTACTCTCTTCATGGTTTTACACACATAAAGTAAAAAGTTCCTCGGCTGTCCTTCAGTGGGTTTTTAAAGAAAACTCCAACAGTTCACTGTCCACATCTGAGCATTGGCCTGATGCTTGGCCATCAGGATGAACCAGAATCAGCAGAAGGGACCTGTGATTTTCAGATTCTCATCAGGAGTTAGGGCAGCACTAGCAATCAGCTGCAAGTTACCAGGGAGGTACAAGGCAGTGGGAAGCTAATTCACAAGGATGAAGAAATAACTGATAATAACTGATGCTGAGACAGAAGCCCACAAAGGCCAAGCACTGCCCAAGGTGAGCAGCTAAATACAACCATGCTAGGACAGACAGTTCAGTATTAATCTGTATTAATGAAGTGTTTCCAGGTCCAGCAAAGCTGCAGCAGGGTGAAGTGATGCTGTTAGTTGGAGGGGGTCGCACTGCCACCTGTGCTGTCACGATCAGTCTGCAGGCCCCAAGGATTGCTGGGAAGAACTAGCTCCCTCCCTCCCACTGTGACCAGCAGGTCTGGGTTTCATTAGGGGCTCCCGTGGCATTCTGAATGACCACTGGGGCATTATCAGTTGTTCTGCATGCTGCATGGGTCGTGTTCATGGGACTATCTCTGACATTGGTGGCACAGGCAGCAGTTCAAGGACATGGTGTACTCCACCCTTACATACTGTTGAGTTTGTTTTCAGAATCCAGAAAGCACACCTAGGGGACCATGGGCAGTGAGAGGCGAGGGAAATCTCCCCCAACCCCTGAATCCACAGCCATGCTGGCTTCCCCAGATGCTACCAATTTTGGTGAGAGCTAAGCTGAATTTTGAGCTTCAGCACCTGCTCTTACTGAAGGGGTCTACAGGCTCACCAGCAATGGGGGGGTCTCGGCCACCCAGGAAGTGACAATGGGATGTAGACAGCAGTTGCCAACAGACTTGTGGCTGGGAGAAAGGGGGTGAGTGGAGACAGTGACTGTGAGGTGGCACATACTTGGAATCCCAGAACTAGAAAGGCCAAAGCAGGAGGATTTCAAGTTTAGGTCCAGCCTGGGCTAGAGTGAGTTCAAGGCCAACTAGATCAAAAAAGCAAAACTGTCTCAAAAAAAAAAAAAAAAAAACAAAACAAAACCCCAAAACCAACCAGTAATGAAATGCAAAGTCCACTGGTACCCCAGAGCTCTGCTGTGGTCACTCAGGCCAGCGAGGAGATTCCTCAGTGGGTCAGACCACTAGAGCAGATCAGAACTGGGACCCACCCACCCCTCAGCCTATGGTGTGGTCCTGATGGACAGTGTGCACCTATAGCACTCCAGAGGTCTGCAAAGCTGTGACCTTGACTCTGCTTGTCTTCCAGAGGCATTCCAGCAAGAAAAATGGAGCCAGGAGCTCTCTGCATGGCGTGTTGTGGCTGGTGAGCATGATCGGATGATGCAGAGCTGGAGGAAGGCATGGGTATGTACCGGGCCACCAGGGAGCCTTTGCAGAGAACCCCTATTTTGCCAGTGGGCCCCTGTGGCTTCCTCTCAGCCTTTAGAGAAGTTCTGCTTCTCTAATGCCCTAGGGGAAATCTGGGCTGTCACTGAGGCTAGCAGAATCAAGGTGGTAGAGGAGACCAAAATAGGTTTGTAGGTCAGGCACAGGCCGGCAACTATCTGCTGCCCAGCCCGTGGACAGGTCTCCTGGAACTCAGGGCTTTCAGGAGAGCAGGAGACTAGCTGCTGCTGAGGACCGGGAGAGGGGTGTCCTGGCACAGGCCTGGTAGGGTTGTCACTACCTACAAGCCTGCAGAAGTGAGGGCATCCCGAGGCAGGGTGCCTTCACATAGGCTCAAGTCACGGTGCTGCACCTTGGCCAGGACTTACCTTGAGGTGAGCTCTGTCCTCGGGGAGGCCTAAGCATGTGGGTGAGATGACTGCCAGGCTGTCAACAGGGTTCTGAGTCTTCTTTCATCAGAACCTGTACAGACAGATCTCCCCTTCAAGGTCCTCTGTGACACGAGAGGCTGTCAACTCAGCCATGTGACAGCAGCCCCTATGTGAAGGCAGGATGTTTGGCTCACCTGTCAGGAGCTTGAGCACACAGGCTGCTGCTTTTGCCTCCAAGTCCTTGGGGAAACCACTTGAGTACTCTTACCCTTACACCCTGGGTGGGTGGGTTCTGCCTATTCTATTCTATTAGGCCACAAACTCAACTTTGCTTTTTTTTTTTTTTTTTTTAAGGAGAGCTGCAGCAAGGATAACTTCTAGTCACCTGAGGCAGTTCTTAACAGATCCCAACTGACCTTGTTGACACCAGCCGCAGACATACCTGATAAAGGCACCAGCAGCCGTGGCACCACACGGTTTTGTCTTGGTTGGCTCTACACACAGCCACTGTCCACTGTCTGAGTGACCCCTCCTAGAGGCTGGGAATCTCTAGGCCAGAACCCCAGTGGGCAGGGACAGAGACCAGGACCCTTTTACGTTAGCTGCTTACTTAACTGAAGGGTCAGTTCCCTGGTGGACATAGGTAGCTGAGCTGTTTAGGAGGCTCCACATCCAAGCAGTTGACAGAGCAGTGTGTACAGCTCACCCAATGGCGGCCACCCCTGCATTATCCCCAGGACTTCACTGCTCACTCGTGCCCCTCCCCCAGGGTCAGCACAGCTAGTCTCCGCTCTGGTTTTGTGCATCTAAGTCAAGTCTGCCGATGTGGCCACTTAGTAAACAGGTCATTCATTTTGTTCCAGGGTCCACCCTGGGATAGGAGAGGTGAGATTTCATGTGAGAATATTTTGCCTTAAACCTTGAGTGCAACTGCTCTTCACTAATCTCAGAACACAGGCTGTTTTCCAAAGCACAGTGGTTCCCACCCACGTTTACCCTGTCAGCGCTCCACTTCTGAGGTAGAAACGCCAAGCAGGTCAATTATGCAAACCTTCTGGTGCCGTATTAAACTGTTTTGCCAGTGCTGAGTAAGCGTGTCTTGTAGGTGCTTCCAAGTCTTCATATTACAGTCTTTGAAGCTTGTGGGTGGGTGTGACTTGGAGAGGCGGGGCCCAAGAGATGCTCAGCCTTTAATCTTGGTAGACATGTCTCTTCTTGTCAATCATAAAACCTAAAACTCTGTTCAAAACAAAGCCACGCCCCTCTATGATCCCTGGAGACACTGGCTTGCTCAGCCTGCTGCTCAATGTCCCTTCTTTCTGGAACAAATGATTCAGGTAACCTTCCAGGTGTGAGGGATCTGGTCCCTCCTCAACCCAGTGTGAAAAAGGATCCTGAGGCCAATTCTAGGCAGAGACACACTGGTGGTCATGTGTACTGTCCCCTCCTCGAGACACTGCCTGACACCTACTCACCCATCTGGCCAATGCACACTAACCACACCTGCAGCACCATCATACCTTTGCAAAGGAATTCTTTTATAAAATATTTTCACTGTTATATTTGAGGTGTGGCTTCAGCCACGATAAACTGCCCAGTCCCTTGCCTTGTCGATGCTTCCTGGATCTTCCCTGAAGTCTGGATTTGTCAGGCCCTGTCTGTATCCTAATGCAATCATACACTTGAGGTTGCAGTGGGCGTTATGCCAGGGAGTGTGCTCATTAAGATTCCCTGTTCAGCCAGGTGGCACATGACTCTAATTCCAGCACTCAGGAGGCAGAGGCAGAGGCAGGAGGATTTCTCTTTGAGGCCAGCCTGGTCTACAAAGCAGCCAGGGCTATACAGAGAAACCCTGTCTGGAAAGAAGAAAAAAGAAATCGCTGTTTAGCTGCAACAAGAGTGGGCACTGCACCTGTGTTCAGTGTGGTGTTCATCCCTGCGACCCTGGTGCCATGGGCACCCTTGGCACAGTGGAGGCCGAGAGAGACTAGCTGACTTCATCTAAAGCACTGGCCTCAGTGAGAGTTCTCTACTGCTAACAAAGTGAGGACACAACCATGGTGCCACAGGAGGGGACCTGGTGAGGTCAAATGGGAAGGACTTCTAGAAGCAGAATGAGAAGAGCTTGGGCTCTTGCATGGGCCAGAAGCCTAGATTAGCAAACATATACCACAGATAAGCAACCTCAGGGCAGAAGGCCCTCAGATCAGGAGACATTTCAGATCATTTTTTGTACTATCAAATTTCAGAATTCTACCTGCTGAATGTAGCTGGCAGGGTACTTTAAAAAATCCCCATAAACTAATTTCACAGCTTTTCTCCTCAAATAATCTATTTCCAAACTTCCTACAACCAATTTGCTGCCTACTGACATGGATGGGAAAAGACAAAGTCCTCCCTGTCCTGCTGACCTGGACATCAAATCCATTCCCACACTGAAACGGAGTGTCAGCATAGGGCCTGAACCGACCCGAGCTCCAGATGGCAGTCGGCGCTCACTGCAGCGCGCTCAGGCCACACGGCCAGCGCTGCGTTAGCGCGCCATTTCTGACTCAGTCTCTGCTTCCACGTCTCATCACAGACCACTCACTTCTCGGAGACAACGTCAGTGCACCTGAATTCAGCAACACAATTCCCAAAGCCAGTACGTGTTTCTTGGCAGGCAGATAGTAAAAAAAAAATCTTTCCTGACACGGGGCAGACTTGGCCAAAGAGACACAAGCAAAGGTCTGAGGATTCGGCAGTTCCTGGTTCTGGGGCTGGGGACAGTGACTGTACCTGTCAGACCTTAGTAGGGTCAAAGAGGAACAACTCAGTAAGGAATTCCAGTGGGAATAACCAGCGAGACTGACATCACTGACCTAAGATCACCAGAGTCTGAGATGAAATTAAATAATCACTCTTTATTCAAAATAAATAAGCCCTCTCACTTGCAGAGAAAATAAGCAAGCAAGCTCTGTCCTTTAAGACAGAAACCACATTCATTGTATGTTCATTAAAAAGATTTGTAGATACCAAACTGAAATCTACAAATTTGATATATACTGCTTCTTTGGAAAATAAAAACTAAAAGGATTAATTTATGTCAAAAAGTCATGTTAGAAACTAATTTTCTTCTGAGGCTCATTTTAGCACATCCTTGGCAGCACAAAGTAGCAGGGCCCCAAGCCCTGAGAAAGGGCCATCCACAGTCCTCACAGGGAGCATCATCCCTGTCCTACCTCCTCTCACCGATTCAGTGGCTCTGTAATGGAGTGTTTCCTAGGGAGCCACAGTAGCCAGGATCACGTTCTCCAGCATTTTCCAGGTCCAGTGTGCAGAGAGAAGCAAAGCTGAATCACGGGCTCTTAGGAAAGGCTCTCACCAGTCTATCTGTGTCCACCTGATGGACTCACAGCCTACACCAGCTGCTTCCTTTGCCCTTAGGCCAGTGAGTTTCCAATTCAACAGTCACATAAACTACATCAGGTCAGTAAAGAATTGAGAAGGAAGTCTTTTTCCTGCCTCCCCCATCCTTACCCAATACACAGACACACAGGCAAGAACTCTTCTTATAAATTCAAGTTCATCATCTGAGAAGTTGACGCCTCCAGTGAGTCTTCCAGCTCCAAGGCACGCTGACTGTATGCTTCCAGGTGCTTTCGCCAAATCTCAACTGAAACAGGAAAACAGCCCAAGTGACAGACACTGACAGGTCACAGAACTCCAGTAGAGGCAGCAAGGAGGTGGCACGAGTTACAGATGTTACCAGCTGTTCCCTCTGCTCAGATGTCCCTGGCCACCTCTACTCACTCTTCCCCACTTGCTAGGCTGGCTCTCCCCTTAATGACCAGTATCAATCACAGTCCCCAAAGAGCATACCTCACTGAACAGTGGCACAGAGAATTCACTTGCCCTCCCAAGTTGGTCTTAGGTATAGCTGTCCTTAAACCACCTTTAGCTCAGGTGACATTTAGCTCAAAGTGTAAGACCATCAATGATAACCTTGCAGCTTCTGACATCTGATGATTAATATCTCAGAAGCAATGGGCAAGAGTGATGGATTCAGTCCTGCCTGGACCTACCATGGCCCACCGCAGCTGGTCTGAAGGCATCAGTGCCATGCTGCTCTCCTAACCCCGAGGCTCTGATTAACACGGAACTCAGAGGTCCCTCCCTAGAGCACTCACTATAGTGTGGTTCTTTTCCAGTGGAGGCTAGGGTGCCTTCTTCAGTGGACTGGATGGGGCCCTGTATGAGTGGGCTGGGAGGGGTCTGAGGCCCAGGCTGTCCTGCCAGCTCCTGCTGTCCTGCCAGCTCCTGCTGTCCTGCCAGCTCCTGCCGCACCGTCTCCAACATGGTCTTGTATGCCTGCCGGGCTGCCATGGTCAGCTCAACCATCTTGTGGAACTGGTCCTTGAGCACAAGAGAGCACATTGTAGGACAGTAAGGTGGTAGTAACATGGGTTGTGGGTCTCTGCCTGTGAGTGCTGCCAGGAGATGAAGAGCCTGGACAAATCTTGAGGCATGTGGTGCCTCTTGGTTGGCAAAAAACCTAGAGTCAAATTCAGGACCTTCACTTGGTGCTATTATGGAAACAAAGGCTTCTGCTTTCTGTGAAGCTTCTGCTTTCTGTGAAGGTTCTGCTTGGAGATGAATTCTCCTTAAGGCCAACCTAACAGAGGCTATGGTCTGCCTGTTGGTAGGCTTACATTATAGGCCATGACCCCAATTCCTTCCCATGGACAAGGAGCTAAGAGGCTGGGGCCCAACTCACCTGAGCCCCGTCGTAGCTGAAGATCCCCACGATGCTGACAGGCACTGCTTTGTTCAGACTGCGCCCCAGCGCCTTGCGGTTCAGTGCAAACACGAAGGGGATGTTCTGCTCACAGGCGCAATCGATGATGGTGTGCAGCGTGTCGTCCAGTCCACCTGGTCAGATAAGCACAGGTCCACAGATGTGCGGTTGATGTTAACTCTTTCGACAGCAACCTACCCCATCTAGGGTCATAATAAGGTCAGCTGCTCATACCAAATCCCACCAGGAGAGAGCGTGTCCCAACCACAAGCAAGAATCAAGTCTCTAAGCCAGACACCTCCAAAATGTAAGACTGCACAATTCCCACTGTGCTCAGGGAAAACCACGAGTTAGCTAACCCACTCTGCGACAGGCTGCTGACTGACTGCCTCACACGTATCAGCTCTGTGTCGTCTCCAAAGTCCTTAAAAGACAACTGCTAAGTCCCACTTACAGACTGAAAAGCAGAGGTGCAGAGAGGCTAGGGTGCCTACCACACTGTGCAGGCCCAGATGCCTGGCTTGCATGGGCTCCTGGCTCCTTACTACCTTGGGCCTGCTTCTGATGAGGTACCAACAAGGCCAACACAGGGAGGAGATGAAGAAGCACCTTGCACAGATGACAGACCTGGTCACTGGGAGCCCAACAGAGGGGAGGTCAGTCAGGGTGCCAGTGTCACACACCTTTATGCTCCAATAACAAGAAGGAAATGAAGAAATTACCCATTTACCTCAGAAATAGAAGACCACAGGGGTAAACTCACAAAGCCCATGAACAAATTTCAGAACACTAACATGCTAACAGAGCAGAACACCTTGACCCCTGCTCTTTTACTTGCTTATCTGAAGTGACTAAATGTCAACTCTACATTGACCTTGAACCCGACCCCTGCTCTTGGTACAGCATGATCTAAAGAGATCAAATGTTCACTCCACATTAACCTTGAACTTTAAAATATTACAGCTTCCTACAACTGTGATTTGAGAAATTTTGAAAACAGTGTGGGTATGGGAAGGGGACACAGGAAACATGCTGCGCATCCTGCCCTGTGCAGCTCTTCTTGGATAGCGGGAAGTGTGGTCCTGGGTTCTCAGGCTCCCCACATGCCTACTCTCACACTGCCATTGCCTTAACCTCAGGAGACTACAGAAGCACAGAGACAGCCCTCTGCAAAGGCAGGGCTAGACATGCAGGACCCCAGGCCACACCTCCGATAGCAGCGTGAGAACGGGCTGAGAGAGAGAGAGCTGACAGCCGAGCCTGCCCCGCAAGCAGGAAGCAGAAAGCCTCCTAGGGGCATACGATTAGTCTCTATTGGGAAGTGGAGGTGTTAGGAAGCTAAAAACACACCAGGCAGTGGTACCCAAACCACTTACTTGGAGCTGTGGAAGTAAATACTCCAAGGTCTGCCTATGGGTCAACTGCTGAGGTCGCTAGAGAGCAGGAAGCCCAGCCTCACCTTTCCCATAAGCAGGCTTTGTGTGACTTCACAGTTTAGTCTGTACAGATGTACACTGTAGACAAGAGCCAGAAAACAGTCTTCTCCTCCTCTCCCATGACCTGGAGAGGCCATCTAGCACTACCAAACATACTGCCAGCCTGGCAGGTCACTATAACCCTGCCATGCTTTGGCTGGTGGTAACGGTGGAGCAGCACTGAGCCAGCACAAAGGTGAGCTGCTGGGCTGCACATGAAGAGGTCTAAGATTGTTGCTCCAAGGTCTGGGATGTAAATGGTAACCTGAGATCATGGCTCAGGACTTGACATCAGGATCTGGACCTGGTACCTCAGAGTGTGACTTTGGCTGAGTTGACGGTTACACACAGGAGAAAGGAATGGGACGGGAGACAGCTCATGTGTTCTAAGATATTCCCTTCCCTTCCTGTGTGTCGTGCCAGGCTGAAGAGGGAGTGTGGGAGTGATGACATTCTTTCTCATGACTCCTTCCACCACTGAACCCAGGGCACAACATGAACAGGCAAATGTCCATGATAGGAGGATAGACAAGTTCACTATCACCTCACACACAGCCTTCTTCCAGCCCAGGCCAACTGCTGGACTACTGTGACACCCCCACATTAGCAAGGATGCACAGAGGAGTGAAACACAGAGAGAGTAAATGCAAACAGGATCAAAGCCCCCGCCAGGTCTCCAGCAATCCCACTGAGCTCTAGAGCAGCGGCTTGCATGGCAGAGGCTCGCTCTACCCTGCCGTCGTCAGAGGAAAGCCTGCTAGCTGGCCTCAGAGGCGGTTCCTTGGTCAGAAGGGGGGTTAGAGTCAATATTTGATAGGTGTTCAGTTCACAGGACACTGGGAAATGACTGCTCTGTTAAAGCTGGAAGCAAGCTGCCAACATGCCCACTGACCCTGTGCTGGCTGACCGTGAGGGTGGAATACTCGGTAGTGGCACAGGAGCCTGTGATATGGGGTTCTGTCTGTCACCTTTGGACTGTGTCTTCTCACAGTTGGGAGAGATGATGACGCACTTCAGCTTCTTGAGCTTCAGGTGTTTCAGGACTTCCCGCAGCCCCAGCACAAGCCGGCGTTTGGTCTTGGCCTTGACGGGATCTTTCTGGTACATCCGGTCTTGGAAGCGCACCAGTTCCTTGAGCAGACCCGTGACACAAGCATCTACTTCTTTACTAAGCATCTGGCTGCAGTAGCTGAAAGGAACCCCAGGCACAGGGAATGCAGACAGCATCAGACAGAAGCCATGGAGACGCCAGCTCTCAGCAGGAACATGCAATTCCTGATCTGCTTGCGACACAAAGGGTGGATGCAGCCCTCTCCAAAGGGAATGCCAGGGGAGGCCCAGCCCTGCATGCCTTATGCAGCCCTATCTGGCATCTCCTCTGTGTCACCCTGCTCTGAACACAGGCACCTGGATAAGCTGCCCTGAGGAGCCCTGTGAGCTATGAGCAATGTTGACTGCATCATACCCTGGGAACTCAACTGAAGCCAGGCATGGTAGCTCATACCTGTAACCCCAATATTCAGAGACTGAGGAAATAAGAGAATGAGTTCAAGGCCAAGGCTAGCCTGGGCCACACAGTAAGTCTGTCTCAAAAAAAGGTAAGTAAAACACAAAAAGGAAAAAAGAAAGAAAGACAAGAGAAAAGAATGGAGGGAAAAGAAACTTCTATGAAACTGAAACATGGAAGGACCCAGTTGTTATCACTGCTACTTCACCCCACCCCAACTTCAAAAACAGACTAAGGATACCTCTTCAATCATCACCAGCAAGACAGAACCACAGTACACAGAACCAGCAGATACACACAGGAATAGGATGTCCTCACCCCACCCTACTGCATAACTAACTCCCCAGTTGATTTCAAGCACAGGATTAAAACACACTGTGGCCAGACACTCCAGCCTGTGCCATCATACCTCTGCAGGGGGGAGAAGTCAGAGTCAGCCCCAACCCGAGCCCCAGCAGCCAATGCTCACTCACTCCCGGAACCTGCGGCTGTGGATCTTGGGGAAGGTGGCACTGTCCGGGGTAGGATGGCAGGCCTCTTGGTCCCTCTTGAACTCTGTGCCAGTCGGCTCTTCTGACTCACCCTCAATCACAGGTGTAGAAGACACTGATTCTTCGGTCTTCTCTGGACCTTCAGAGAGGGAAACAGAAAAAACACAATCACTGTGCACCTCTGCAAGGCCTGGCACACACAGAGCAGCCCGCAGAGCAGATGTGCCTTGATGCCAGAGACATACCAGCAATCCACCAACTTGCAGAGCCAGTCAAAAAGAACAAATACAGCCTTAGAGGGAGCAGGAAGACTGGTGTGGACTGTCAGAGCAGCTTTATGGTCTTTCCTATGCCTCCTTCCCCTTCCCAAGTCTGTTCACTCACTCATTTTCATTGTGTTTATTAAAATACAGGAAAGTTACCATTAAGTGTAGAGTTCAGTAGTAAACTCTACCTTTTATGTTTGGAATCTAAAGACTAGCATATTAGGAAATTGTATAAAAAGCAGGGTTAGTTGCCAAGCTAACAAAAGAGCATGCTTTTAATCCTAGCACTCTGGAGGCAGAGGCAGGAGATCTCTGTGTGTTCAGGGCCAAATGGTCTACATACTAAATTCCAGGCTAGCTAGGGCTACATAGTGAGACTATGCTTCAAACAAAAAACCCTAGGGTTAGCAGCATGCACAAGGCTGGGGCAGGAGGACTGCCATGGCCAGGCTCAAGGAAGGCCTAAGGTACAGTCAGCTTAAGGCTAGTGAAAGGCACAAGTATGAGACTCTGTCTCAAAAACCAAACAACGCAGTGTTAGAGTTCTGAGTTTTTATGTTAAATACCTGAGCTATATTCCTTTATCAAATAACCTTCTAAAAACAACTAACTTGCCGGGTGGTGGTGGCACACGCCTTTAATCCCAGCACTTGGGAGGCACAGGCAGGAAATCTCTGTGAGTTCAAGGCCAGCCTGGTTTACAGAGCAAGATCCAGGCTAGGCACCAAAACTACACATAGAAACTCTGTCTCAAAAAAACTAAAGAAAAACAAAACAAACAAAAAAACAAACCCAACTAACTCCTGCATTTAACTATGGGAGCACTGGGCCTGGAGTGCAGTGCTAGTCTGCCGTGGGTTTGATCCCAAAAATACCCAAAACAAAAAAACCAACGCAACACAGAAAACCAAAACCAAAACAACTAACACAAACCACAATAAAACACCTGTGAGTGTTGGACTGGGGCTATGTGTAACATACCAAATGGAGTCAGCAATAACTTGGCATGTCCAATCAGTTACTTCCACAGAGCACCAGAATGAAAGCAAGGTAACATCACTAGGGATGGAATTCAAGACCACACTCTCACAAAAAGACACTGCTCTGGACAAGGCCGGGAGCACCCACAAGGCTTAACCACGCAGGTGCTGACGGCAGAATACCTGGAGATGTGTGGCAGGGGCCCCAGCAGCAAGCCCACTCCAGGAAGTGAGTGCTCACGTCTTCCTAGAGACATCAACAACACTGCCCTGGGCACACTCATTTCTACCAACTACTTTGATGTCCTCCCACACGGGGCACACTTACCCAGGCGAATACTATACAGTACTGAGCAGTGTACTGTTCTACATGCAGAAAAGGAGATGGAGTCAGCATGGCACATACCACAGCTGCACTGTGCTAGGTCATAGCACTGCGGCTGGTACCATGCTGGGGCAGTATTCCTGGGGCAGGCCTCTAACTAGATGACCTGGGGAGGGTCACTGGGTGGTTTTCTCATGCTGTGAAAAGTTCTTTAGCTACACACATTTGCACTATGTACACTCCCTGACGTACAACTCCGTACAAAGTCTCCTGGAAAACCATACACATTAATTTTTTATGACACCACGTTTCACACACTTGGTAAATATAAACAGCCTTGTGGTTAGAGCTCCCAGCATCACACAGGACCAAACCTCGGAAAGGGGCTCCTCTGCCTATAAAACTAGGTTGTGGAAACCACATGCTCCAGGCTCCATGTTAACTTGCATTTTACCACAAGGCCCATGTGGGGCTGGCAGAGTCCCAGTTTCTACCACAGCTCACCAGCTCACGGTAGCTCCCACCTGAAGGATTATTTCAGATGCATGCACACAGAAACTGGTACCTGTGGAGTGGCCCTGCTTGGGGGCCTGGTCACCGCTCTCTACATCCTGTGCATCGTCACTGGCCACAGTCAGACCCACAGCATTTTCTTGGAGTCGCTGCTGCATTCTCTCTTGCCGTTCTTTTAAAATTATCTTAAAATTAAAAACAAGCAAACAACTGATTAAAACACCGAATACTTGTACCTAAAAGATAGCTCTTCTGCCTAAGAAATACCCAAGTTCAGATTGCTGAACATGCCTTTGGAGTGATGACAGCCCCTCCATGCCACATCTCTCTCGAGACACAAGGCTCTGAGGCCAGTTGTGTGGTATAAGGTCATCCACCACAGACTTTTTTTTTCTTTCTGAGACAGGGTTTCTCTGTGTAGCCCTGGCTGTCCTGGAACTCACTCTGTAGACCAGGCTGGCCTTGAACTCACAGAGATCCACCCACCTCTGCTTCCCTAGTGCTGGGATTAAAGGTGTGCACCACCTCCACCCGGCCTACCACGAACATTTAAACAGACAGAGGGCACATAGTACAAGGCCAACTGGTGAACAGAAGGCCTGCAAAGAAGCCTTCATAGTCTGGCCGAGCAACAGGGGAGAAGCAGCATGTGTGAGGAAGGAAACGCATCTCCCCACGTCTGGGTTTCTGTAGCACCCCGAAGGAATAAGAAGAGATTTTTTTTTTTTGTCCACACACTCTGTCTTGTTAAAAGGAGAGGTTGAAGGATCATCTGTCTGAGAAAACTGACACAATTTGGTGCAACATTGGTCTATAATATAAACCTTAAAAGTCAAAGATGTGGGTTTGGGATATGGATCAGTGGTGGAATGCTTGCCTACATAAGCAATGCTCTAGTTTCAGTCCCCAGAACCATGGAAAAGCTAAAGGGCTGAGGGAGGCAAAAGCATAGGGCAGAGTTCATCAGTCTTCCAGGACTTTGCTTCCATGGAAACAGTCCACATACCTTCTTCAGGGAGGTGGGCTTCTTGGCCTTAGGGATCTCCCTCTGCTTTCCCTTCTTCATTAGGGGGGCACTGGAGTCCAAGGGGTTGTGTGGGGTCTTCACCTGACTGGAGCGGCGACCCCTCTCACCCGAGGAGGCATCCTTGGAAAGGACCGGCACTGCTCCAACTACAACACAGTGGGGAAGCCACAAGGGCCCTGCCTGGAGGCCTGGCCAGCTCAGAGCAGGCTGAGGGTCTGGAGGCCTCTCCCATGCACACTCTGATGCACAGCCTTTCTGGCCTTTGTCAAACCCCCTCTGACACCTTCTCCCAGGCATGGATTCCAAACAGTATTTATTCTTTACTTGGGATCACTTTGGGAAGGTCTGTCTAAAACTGCAAGGATCACACTGCTTGATTTGTGCTATTTTTGAGGTGGTTTGTGTTTACTACTGGTGGCTCCTAGGAAGGTGTTGATCACCACACACTCAGCTAGTACTGCCTCCTGTACATGCTGTTTACTGGTTTCTTAGTAACCCCATTTGTCTAGCTATATTACAATGGCTCTTATAAAATTCTAGTCATGCTTCTAGTGGATTCTTGAGTTTTCGGGACATGTTTAGGCTCTGAATCCTACTACAGGCAGTTGATCTCTCCAATCAATAACTTTGATAACTACTCAACACTGGAGTTTACATTCCCACTCTACCCCACTTCCTGCCACAGCACTATTCCAAGGAAACAGTTTTTCTGTACTCTTCTCCCTTCATGTTTTATAGCCTGTTAACATGGCTAATTTCATATGTTGAGCATATTTCTCCTCCACACTCCCTTTTCTTGCCCCTCCCTGCTCCTGTCAGTCCCCTTAACCCCCCTAGATGATTTTACGATTTCTAAAATATCAAAGGAAAAGGAATGGTAACCAATAAACCCCCATGTGCCTACCACCTTGTTCCGAGAAGTCTCAGAATGTGTCCAAGCACGTCTTGGACACTCATTTATGGAGTGTCATCTTAAAGTAACTAGTGTTGATCCATCCAACCTCATTCATACAATACCTGAGTCACCTACACAACCTGTCCAGGTCGGTGACACTATCTTTTCTAGGCGGCTTCTCATTCTACAGCACAGCAGCTTGCATCTACGTTATTCTCACACAGTGTTTGGAACAGGTATGTGGCTAGGCGGCCCCTATCTATCTACACCTGCTTGCTTGCCTGGCACCTAATGGTACCACTGAATCCAGCCCCTCATCTAGACTCCTAAATTGTATAGTTGAAAAAGTTTAACTTCTATAAATTTCTTATCAACAAACCAAAGGGGCTGGAGAGATGGCTCAGCATTTGAATGCTTGCTCTGTAATCATGAGGACTGCAGTTTGGATCCTAGCACCCATGTACCAAGTCAGGCATCCTGTGCACACCTGTAATCCCAGCTCCAAGGGGATCAGAGAGGAAGACAGCTGAGGCTTGATAGTTTCCAGCCTAGCTGAGAAGGAAAGGGCCCCAGGTTCAGGGATAAACCCTGCCTCAAAAGGAATGGACAGAGTAACAGATAATATCCAATATCATCTTCTAGCCTCCATGTATGTGCATATATCTGCACATCCACAGACCTGTCAGAGGAGAGTCCCATTAGTACTGACTGTACCCTGTCCACAGTGGTGCCGGTGGTGGTTTGAATGAGAAGTGCTCCCATAGACTCATATATCTGAATGTTTGGTCCCCAGCTAAATGGAATTGTTTGGGAAGGATTAGGAGGTGTGTGTGGCCTTTCTGGAGGAAGTGTCACTGGAGTGGGCTTTGAGGTCTCAAAAGTCCATGCAGGTCCAGTGTCTCTCTCTGCTTGTTGCCTGAGGATCAGGATGTAAAGCTCTCAGCTACTTCTCCAGCACCATGTCTGCCTGCTTTCCCCATGATTATGAACTAATCCTCTAAAACTCTAAGTAAGGCTCCAATTAAATACTTTTATAAGAGTTCCTTTGGTCAAAGTGTCTCTTTATACCATAGAACAGTAACTTAGACAATATCCCCACCCCACCCCGACACACAAGGGGGATTCACCCATGCATGCAGAATGCAGTAAAGGCCCTAGGACCACAGCACCTCACAAGAGATTTTCTGCCACAGAATCTCATCATAGAAAGGGGAACTGGGCCAGCCAGTATGAGCACTTGCTCTGCAAGCCTGACCCTGGAACCCTCCATCCCTGAAACCCAGGGATTAAGAGGATTAAGAGTAGGATTAAGAGGGATACCGCTTTAACTTTAAACAGACCATATTTAAATGTATTTGGGAGTTTTTGAGACAAGACTCTCACCATGTAGCCCTGGCTAGCCCAGAACTCCCTATGAAGACCACACTAGTCCATTTGAGCTTGTTTCCATCTATGGGGTGAGCAGACTCATTCTTCTGCACCACATTATTCTCTGAAGAGAATGTTCTGTTTTCTAGTGGACTTGGCACAAATGTTCAGGTTCATTTCTGCATTCTCTATTCTCCCTTCACTGTCCATGTCCATGTTTATCTCAGTACCTTTCATGAAGAAGGAAATTGCTGAGGTGCAAAGGTGCCTACCTGAGAACACGACAGGTTTGGAGGACGGCTTGGCATGTGGGGCATGCTGCTGCTTCTCCAGCGCTGCCAGCATGCCCCCCAGGTCCAGCTGCACTGGAATCTGGCTCTTCTTTCCACCAGTTTTAAAATCATTCTACAAAATACAAACTTACAAGTTTACTCCTAATACTGTATTTTACACACCATGATTTACATTTTGCAAAAATAAAAAGATAAAATGAACAGATTAAAAGATTATAAAATCCACATTACCTGCCATTATTACTGTGGTTGGTTATTCCTATTTCTATTCACACCTCCAATGTGGTTTAACAGCATATATGACAGGTAAGAGATCAAAACTTACGTGACATCTTTGGCTACAGGACTCTGTGAAGATGGGAATGGCATATCCCTGTAATCCCAGCCAGCCCTTGAGAGGCTGAGGCAGAAGGACTTTTGCAAGTTCAATGCCAGTCTGAGCTCTAGTGTGAGACCGTGTCTCAAAAACCTCAAACAAAACCCCTAAACTGAAGTGTTTGTGTGAGGTTACCTGGTTGGAACTCTGGCCTGCCTGGCTCCGTACTGCCTGCAAAGGGTACAAGGGGGAATGGCCCCTTGGCTCAGTATTGACGGGGTAGGCAGAAGAGTGCTCCCTCTTTAGTTGCTGGGTGACGGGGTAGGCAGAAGAGTGCTCCCTCTTTAGTTGCTGGGTGACGGGGTAGGCAGAAGAGTGCTCCCTCTTTAGTTTCTGGGTAGTGTGTCCCCCTCCTGACAGCAACTGCAGCTACCAAGTCTTATTACAAAAGGGACGGGCTGCTTCAGCTTCGTAGTGATCCAACTGTTCTCCCCGGGAGAATACGTCAGAAGAAGCCCTCCACGAAGACTTTTGGAGAGCAGACTCTCTCAATAGTTTGGGTAGCAGGACAGTTACACCAAAAGCAACAGTGACTGCAATCTACAACTTACCTGCACCTGCTGTTTACTTTCACGTTTCAGTGATTCTACTCTGTGTCTTCTTTCAGAGGCGACTGACAGGTTGGGGAACTCCTCGGCATCCTGAGGAAAGCACACCGTCAGCTTCCTACATGGGTGATGAGCAGCTGCACACAAGCTCTCCTCGACTCTAAGACCCACCAAAGTTCTCACGGAAGTTCCAACTTGATCTAACTCTTAGAGCATGTTTTCAGACCACAGTTCTAACACTTTTGTACAGATCCAGAGGGACTGCTGCCCAGGACCTAGGTACTGCAGGAGTCCCTGGAACTGACCGTACTTCCTTAACATGAGTCTATCAAAAGACCTGTTCTTTAAAAGCAGAGAAACTCAGAAATCCAAAATCAGCAGATTTAAACATTTGGGGACTTCTGCCAAACAGGGCAATAAACAGACAGAGGCAATAAGCCTGCTAAAACTTTTAAAATCACACCATTTTGTTGGAATTTTGTCACCATTTGGGGTGCCCTGGGATAAAGTCATTTGGGAATTAAAAGGCAGAAGCATGACCAGTTCACTGGCCTAAGTGCAACACTCTGCTCTACACCTAACTGCTATTCTGGAATGTTCCAAGACTTCTGGAAATGACCTTTCCAGTTCTGTGGGAATGTCCTGGGCAGTTAGTCCTGGGAGATCTTGTGCCTACACAAACAGCAAGGCTCCAAGTCTGGTAGGGGAATGTGAATAAAATAAACAGGCCAGTGTGAAATGCAGTCAGAACTCAGGCTGGCTCTTTAGTGTATTCGAACATGAATACAGGGATCGTTGCAGGACAACAACGAAAATTCCTGGAAGTTACTGCATGGGATTCTCTTGGCTAGGGTCTACAAGGAACCTATAGCGCTCTACATTTCCCTTCAGTAGTGAAGCACTTCACAGGATTCATGACAAGAAAAGGAGGCCTATAAAAGCTGGCTCTGCACAGTGAGTAACACAGTGAAGAGAAGAACAGAGGGGAATGTGAAGAGTGTGGAACAGTAGCTATTAAACTCCCAGTCAGCTCTCTCAACCATTGGTCTACTCATGAGCTTACTAAGAGTTTGCAAGGAGACAGTCTGGGAACAGGAGGAAAAGGTGACAGGTAATGTTATTCTTTCTTTTTTGTTGAGAGGTTCTCAAGCGGCCCTGGCTATCCTCTATTCTCGAACTCTCTGTGTAGCTGAGGATGACTTCCAACTCCCAATCCTCCTGCCTCTCTGCCTCCCAGCTGCTGGGAGCAGGGGCATGCACTACCATGCTGGAGGATGTTAAATTCTTTAGAAGCAGGAAAAGGATTACTAAAGGGGGCATCAGAGATCTTCAATTCAGAAGCCAGTGTGAGCCCAATCTAAGAAAACCTCATCTGCACCGTACAAGCTCAGAGTAATACATACTTCAATCCTTGGTGGCTCCTGAACTGTCAGGACTTCACAATTTGATTTAGACTTTTCTTTCTTTTTCTTATTCTTTCTTGAGGTTTCATTGTGTTCAAGTTCACCTCCTTGTGATGCTTTGGCCTAGATAAAAACACAAAGAAAAACCTGTGGGATATTAGGGTATTTAACAGAATCTTCGACCTGTGTCAGAACAAAATGAAAACAAAGCATACCGCTTTTCTGGAGACCTGAGGGCCTGGACATGACTGAGTGCTCACCTTGAGAAGTCAGGCTGTTAGAGAACTGCTTCAGGTGTCCCATTCCTGCCAGCAAGGCTGGTGTCTGTCATCTGCTTGGCATCAGACTCCCAGAAGCCTCTGAACAAACCACAGCCTGGCCCCAATTACACAGGACCCACAACCTGCGGCTCCCGCCTGAGGCTGCTGCGTCCTGGTTTGGGGCTCTTACACTTATTGCCCAGGCTTGGATTGGTCATTCTGTCTGCCCCAGCTCATGTCTAGCTGGCTCCTCCACCTGTCTGGTGACTTGCTGGGTTTTCTCTTGAGAGCACTAACCCCTCTGCTGTATTCTGTACCTGCATACTTTCATCACACTTTCAGCCTTTCCCATTAGGCTGGACTCTCAGCACAGGGATGTTTTCAGAACTACCCTATCCCAAGAGAGTTCAGCCATCAGGAGAAAAGCTCAGCAGCTACAGAAAGAATGAACAATCTTACCAACCCAAAGGGGCCGTCTGTTATGTGTAAGTGAACAAATCCACTTTTAAGGGACTGTATTATATTTTGTTTCCTCACTGTAATGCGGCATGACAACCACTTATCCCTCCTGCCACCATGCCCTTCCCTCCATGATGGACCCTCCAACTCTGAGCCAAAGCAGACCCTCCTTCCTTTAAAAAAAAAAAAAAAATCTCAATAAAACCCTGTTCATCTATAGGGCACAGATCCCTCATTATGTATCAGGAAACTGGCTTAGATAGCAACCTGGAAGCTACAACCAATAACTAGACAGAAGAACGCTGTGCTAACTGTACTAGGTCACTGGAGAAAGTTAAAAAAAAAAAAAAAGGCACAAGGACTCACACTTGCAACTCCAGCTCTTGGAGACTGTTGTGAGTTCCATGCCAGTCTGAGCTACCATGTGTGACCCCACCTCAAAACAAAAGACTCCTTAAAGAACTGCACGAATTTAAGGGGGGGGAAATCTATTCTGAAATCCTGTCTTATAACAGGTAAATTGAATTAGTATTGTGTCAAGTGGTCACAAAATCTGAAATTCAATTATTTTACTACGACTACATGTAATGGTACATGTAACAGTTCTTTAAATGCAACTGAAAAAAGCTAAGGAAAAAGATGCATCAGCTATGTATCAGAGCATAAACTTAGGGCAGCATCTTTTCTTTAAAGAATTCAAGAGCTGTGAGGATGGCTAGGGTAGAGTACTACCATGTACAAGGCTCTCTCTCTCTCTCAACAAATAAAAATATAAACACTCCACATGGTTGCAGTCTTTTAAAACACCTCCTTTAACATAGAAAAGCCCTCTTATTTCCTTACAAACATCTCATTCTCTTGTCAAGGCTCACGTCCACAAAGCTCAGGCTGATTAGTATGGAATAGACTGCAGCACTCTCAGTGAGGAGTTGGGAAAGAAGGGGCCCAGTTGGGGCCACAGCAGATCGTGTACTATATGCAACAGAAACTCTAGCATCCAACCATGCTTAAGTGCACAGCTCAGTGGCACTACGTCCATGCACACATTACTGTAACCAGGCAACTCCAGAGCTTTCTCCAAGTCTGTCACCATTAAGCACTAACTGCCCATTCTTTTCCCAGCCCATGACACTTAACCATCTTTTTTTTTTTTTTTAATTAATTTATTTATTATGTACACAGTGTTCTGTCTGCATGTATCTCTGCAGGCCAGAAGAGGGCACCAGATCTCATTACAGATGGTTGTGAGCCACCATGTGGTTGCAGGGAATTGAACTCAGGACCTTTGGAAGAGCAGCCAGTGCTCTTAACCTCTGAGCCATCTCTCCAGCCCCACTTAACCATCTTAATTGCATTTCAGGAGACAAGGATTCACTCTGTGGCCCAGGCTGCCCCTGAATTTACAATCTCCCACCTCAGCATCCCAAGTGTCACCACCCCCAGTCCCATCCTGTCTCTAGTGATGCATACCTTTGTAGCAGGATGAACACACTTCTCCCTGTTGTAAGAAGGATCTGAAGAAAAAGCCTCAGATGGCACACTAACAGTTTTAGCATTGGTTGATGAAGCAGTCTTCTTTAGATTCATCACAGAAGTGACGTTTTCAGTTGTTGCTGTTGATCCTGAAGACACTGTCTGCCGAACAATATAACCCATTGGTGTCCAAGAGAACTCTGCTGAAAGATAACCGCAATTACTGAACAATCTCAACAGTAAACAGGAATCCCTTGATTATCCAAAAATGCACCTTGTGATAATTAACTTTTCACAACATAACAAAAATGATAGTGTCTAGAACACCACCTTGAGAGACTACAGTATCTACCAATTAGCTGTCCAGAACATCCCCTAGAACTACAGTATCCACCGACTGTCCAGAACACCCCCAGGACTACAGTATTCACCGACTGTCCAGAACACCCCCAGGACTACAGTATTCACCGACTGTCCAGAACACCCCCAGGACTACAGTATCCACCGACTGTCCAGAACATCCCCAGAACTACAGTATTCACCGACTGTCCAGAACACCCCCAGGACTACAGTATTCACCGACTGTCCAGAACACCCCCAGGACTACAGTATTCACCGACTGTCCAGAACACCCCTAGGACTACAGTATTCACTCTACCTGTTTTTCTTCTAGAAGAGTGCATGCGCAGTCTCTTCCCTTTTAACTTATAAGTTAACTATTTACCTGTATTTCTTAATTTGGAGGACACAGACAGGTAGGCAAAAAGGTTTTGGCTAAACAACAACAACCCACAAAATATTCATGTGGCAAACACAGAATTAAAGAGTGAAGACCCACTTTGGGCCTACTAACCTTGCTCTGTACCTTTAACAGCAGAAGTCAAGGATTTGTAGACCAGTGCTGTCACAGTGACTGGCAACTTACTTCACACTACAACACAATGTAAGCACACTAAAGCTACTCCTTAGCTGCCCATTAAGCTCTACATACACATCAAACAAAAGGACATCCATCACCACAGAGATGACAAAAGCCTGTCAGCCACCTGACCCACACTACAGAGCTACTGAGACAGCCTTGGCAGTGAAGAACTGTCCTGGGATGCACCATACTAAACCCAGGAACACAAGAGCCCATGTACCAAGGAATGGTCTGGACTTTTTGCTAGGACAAGCTTCTGTAACCATCTCAGAAGTACGATCCCCTCAACACTCTCTGAATACCTGGCTTCCTGCTCAAGCTGCTGAAAGCCCACCAAGTTACAACCATTTTCCAGGCGGGAGAAATGCCCAGTAGTCTCCCTAATTCTTCACTCTAAGGAGTGGACTTTGTGGTGCTCCGAAGGCTGCACGGCAGTAATGGTGGAAGAGCCAAATGCCAAACCAGACTTACGGAGCTATATACTAAAAAGTACAAAACAAGGCTACTCCAGCTATAGTCTTTTAATTATGGAAAAGGTTATTTTTTTTTTAAAAAAAAAAACAACTGTATTTCAAATGCAATGCATTTATTATTTTACGTGGAGGGCCTGTTGTTTTATGAGACAGAGTCTCATTGGAAGACTAGGTTATCCAGAACTACTGTGACCAGGCTCCCCTTGAACTTGTGGAACCATCTTGCCTCAGTCTGCCAAATGCTGGGGTTACAGGCCTGGCTATAAAGTAGTATTTGTTTTAAAATTTGATCTAATTTTGAATAATGCCAATATTAACAGTTACCACTTAAATATATACATGCTCTAGGACTCTGACATTTTAAAAGCATACTGCATCATACAGTTCTGAAAGAGGTCCTTATTTTGGGATTCATAAAATTCTCATTTACCAAGAATTCTGTTCATTTAGAATATGGCCTCTCATTTTACACCAAGTCATGGATATGGGCTCCTATATTCTAAACTAACACTGATGCTAGTTTTTTTTTTTTGTTTTTATTTATTTATGTTTTGGTTTTTCGAGACAGGGTTTCTCTGTGTAGCTTTGCGCCTTTCCTGGATCTCGCTCTGTAGACCAGGCTGGCCTTGAACTCACAAAGATCCGCCTGCCTCTGCCTCCCGAGTGCTGGGATTAAAGGCGTGTGCCACCACCGCCCGGCTGATGCTAGTTTTTAAAATCTCACTAGCTGTCTTAAAGGCAGCTTCAAAACTAACAACATTTAATGACACTGGTGTGAAACATGCTTAGAAAATAGCATTTTGTGGTCACTCTTACCTCGGGTACATGAAGGGGAACTGGCAGCAGCATTATCAGTCACAGCTCCAGCTGTGCGACTGCTCTTCACCATTTCACCCTAAAAAGAGCCCAGCCAAGATTAGGGAAAAGTCATTTACAACAATACAGAATTGTACACCTTTTAGAATGGCCAAGTTATACAATAGTGACAATCTGAGGTGGGATGCAGAGCAGCAGGACGCTCACTCATTGCTGGGGAGGCTCCATAAGGCCACTGGGGGCAAAAGGTAATGGCCCACAACTGAACTGACAACACAGATCAGTGCATATTATCAAGTGAAAGCAGCTACAGAACATGTGACTCCAAATCTTCCATGTTCCAGAAAAGACATGATCAGGTGCTGGGAAGAGATTAACAGGTGGAACACAGATCTTCAGGGCAGTGAAGTTATTCTTCACAACACAATGATAGACACATGTCAATCTATGTCTGTCTACCTGCAGTGACCCAGATGTTAATTAGGAATGCCAGGGGTAAGAGGTGTGCCCATGAAGTTGCATAACTGTAACACACCACAAAGGCGGGCTGACATGGAAGCTGGGGATGAATGGGGCAAGCAGTATACGACTCTGTCCCTGCCTCTCCATTTTGTGATCCTAAAACTGCTCTAAAACAGTCCAGTTAAAAAAGCACACAAAACCCAGCCTGTTACTTGCTTTCTGTTTCAAACAGAAAGGAATCACTTAATTTTTAAATCCAGCTTTCTCTGAATTCTTAAAATCTATAAAAACATGCTACTTAAAAATTCCAAATATCAGCCAGGCATGGTGGCACATGCCTTTAATCCCAGTGCTCAGAAGGCAGAGGTAGGCAGAAATCTTGAGTTCAAGGTCAGCCTCGTTTACTTCCAGGACAGTCGGGGCTATAAAGAGGTATCCTGTCTTGATTAATAAAGAAACAAAAAATTCCAAATATCTAACTACATTATACTACTTTAAATAACATACAACTTTTATATAACATCAACAGTGAATAAAAATGTTACATGTGGTGGTGTATGCCCACAAATACACTCACAAATAAATGTAAAAAACCAAACAAACAAATTATACACCCACACACCCCATAAACAGCTCTTCAGGACAGTATCCTTACATATCTATAGTTCTTAATACCAATGGTCCAGCTGGGTGTGGTGGCAAAGGGCTTTAATCCTAGCACTTGGGAGGCAGAGACAAGTGGATCTGTGAGTTCAAGGACAGGCAGAGCTACGTAACAAACTTTGTTTCAAAAAACAACAAAAAACCCTCCAAAACTCAATAGTCTTAAAATGAATGTTCATATACCAAAATAAAAAAAAATCCATCAAATCAAAATAAAACATCTGAAAAGTTAAGAAAGTCTGTGCCCTCTCATGAAGCAGGCTGCCTCGTCTACTGACTATGGGTATGAGATGATGGGTGGTGCAGGGTGCAAGGACTTCCAAACACACACCAGAGTGACTAGCAGATGGGATCCGTTGTAAATGTACATGTAAATGAGCTGCCATGTGGTTGCTGGGAATTGAACCCAGGTTCTCTGGAAGAGCAGCCAGTGCTGGTAACTACTGAGCCACTGCTCTAACCCTTAAATTTTAGATGATTTTGGGGGTCATATACTTTACAAATTTATCCATTTGCTGTTTTATTATTTCAGTATGTTCAGTAACCTAAATTATAATTATTAGAACATAGCCTAGGCTAGGGATATAACTGAGCAAGTGAGCATTTGCCTATCACTTATCAGTATCTGCGCTTATCCTCAGCAATACACACACACACACACACACACACACACACACAAACACCCCAAAACAAAATAAAAGACCTGTGCTTTTCCTAAATATAACTGTCAGCTCACAAAGACCAATGAAAACTACAAGCAACTTAACTTATTCAAGATGGTTTAAATGAATTATAGGTAGCAATAGGATAGATCCAAAAGCAATAGTTGTTGTCAAAAAATACTTAATAAAATGTGGGAAAAAAGCTCCCAAATGATTTTATTTATTTATATACATATTTTTTATTTATTTTTGGTTTTTCAAGATAGGGTTTCTCTGTGTAACAGTCCTGGCTGTCCTCGAACTCACAGAGATCTGTCTGCCTCTGCCTTCCAAGTGCTGGAATTAAAGGCGCGAGCCACCACAGCCCAGCTCCCAAAGGATTTTAAATATTAAGAACATATATGCGGGGGCTGGAGAGATGGTTCAGTGGTTAAAAGCATTGGCTGCTCTTCCAGAGGACCCAGATTCAATCTCTGGCACCCACATGGCAGCTCACAACTGCCTGCAACTCCAGTTCTGGGATATCTGGCATTCCCACACAGACATACATGCAGGCAAAACACCAATACACATAAAATTAAGAAAGAACATACATGCATATCCCTAATTGGGACCTCTCCTCTACTTCCACTGTGTATCACCATTGTTATTTTGGAGGACTGTTAAGAACTCTTGTTGGCATGTTGCTGAGGCTATGGCGTGGTGCATGGTGCAGAGGTCAGAGGACAACCTCAGGTTTGGGTTCCTGTCCTGCAATGTTTGAAACAGGGTTTCTTGCTCACCACCGGAAACCTCCTCCAGACTGGTTGGCCAAAGCTTTGGGTGACTCTGTCTCTGCTGCCCATCTCCCCAGGAGATGCCCTGGGATGACAGACATGAGCTGAAGCTGGCTTTTTCGCTGCTTTTGGGGATTCAAGCTAAGGTCTTCACTTGGGCCTGGCAAGCCCTGCACCCACTGAGCTGTTCCACAGCCTCCCACTGTGCACAGTGTTCTTTAAAAACGTTTGAGTGCAGAGTTGCAGAGATGGCTCAGCAGTTAAAAGCATATACAGCAACTGCAGGAAACCTGAGTTTGGTGCCCAGCCCCCATGCAGGCAGCACACAAACATCTCCAGCTCCTGGGGATCTGATGCACCTGCATTCACATGCACAATTCTATGCACACACACAATTAAAAAATTAAAAAAATAAAAATAGATTAAGTGCCAGCATAGTGCTTCATGGTATTTCAAACAATTACTTTTTTTTTTAAAGATTTATTTTATGTATATGGTATTCTATCTGCATGTACACCTGCGTGCCAGAAGAGGGCATCAGAACCCATTATAGATGGCTGTGAGCCACCATGTGGTTGTGGGGAATTGAGCTATCTCTTCAGCTCCCAATTACTTTTTTTTTAAAACCCTTTTCCTGTTATTTACACGTATTAGTGATATAGTGAAAAGGGGGCTTTTAGAAGAATAAAAGGCCCTTACTTGTAACTCAGGATAGTATGGCAGTCAGTGTGTAACATTTCTTCCATTAACAGAAGAACTTCACTTCATTTTCATGCTCAGCTATGAGACACTATGTACAGGTGACCTTGACACAGGTGGTCAGTCTCTCCCTGCTGCTCTATCTGTCCCTGTTACAGTGGCACAGTACCCTATAGTACTCTGAGGTGCTTACAGAAGCACCAAACAATCACTGCTGAATTCAGCAGAGGCCCAGGCGGCAGCCACATATGGCCTAGATAAACTATGACTTGAACTGTGATTTCATACAGCCATTAATCTGCCTTACTGTGCACATTCTTAACAAACCACTGTGTGATAATACAATAAGAGTCCACACCTAGGAAATGCAACAGAATGGCATATTTTCTCATGTATCAGCCACTGCAAAGCCTTTAGCTCTTTGGATAGGTGCCTAAGAGAATGCCAAGGACATGAAGGGATCCCTTCCTGATAAAGAGGGAAATGGGAATATGCGTGGTTTATATTTCCTCTTCCTCTTTGTTTCCATGCTGTCTGGTACCCTTCTCTCTCCCTTGGGTAGGAATTGCCATAAATCACTTGAGGGATTTAACTTCTGGCTGGGATCTGAAATGTCATCCCAGAGGCTCACACGCTGAACACTGTCCTCTGAACTGGTGGCGCTGTTTTAGGAGACTGTGGAACCTTTAGGACATAGAAACTAAATGTTGGAAACAGGGTCACTTTTCTGAAGGTTATAAGCTGCTCTGGTTCAGATGTGCAGTTTCCTGTCCATATAAAGTGAACAGACCACCGCCTTCCATGCCCATCACACCTTCCACTATGGTGCACTGCACCCTCTGAAACCGTGGCCTAACAAATCTTCCCTCACTTCTATGTCGGGTGTCTTGGTCATAGCAAGAAAAAGTAACTAACAAAATAATCTGCCACTTTTTAGTCCCTAGAATTATGAATCAGTCTTTGGAAAACAAAATGCTTTGATTTGGTAGACTAAAACTTTGAGACCATTGTAGTAACCACTCATTACTCATCTACTGTTATTAATGAGATAAGACTGAGATATAGGTAAAAAACCTAGACATTTCAGAAGCTGCATCAAGGTAAGTTTTAAATATCAGTATTTCAGTTTTTACATTCCACATATTTATTTATTTGTGTGGGGGAGGTGGTATGCACAAGCCACCATGTGTGTGTAGAGGTCAGTGGACAACATGCTGAGTCACCTCATCAGGCTGCTTTAAATGGACTATCAGAACCTCCTCCTGAGGTGCTACACCTGGCTTTGTGCTCCCAGGTTTCAAGAAAGCACATCAGATGACTCTTTGGAGACAGCAGCTCCAGATGTGACAATCTTGTTATAATCAGGTTGGCCAAGTGCAAAGCCAAGGCCTCTCCCCAGTACCTTTTCCCTCGCAATGTGATCTTCACAACCCACAGTAGGATTTAACATACCAAGTGTTTCAAGTGACAGAACACCAAGGCAGACATGGGCAGAGGATAGAGAAAACTGAGACAGACAAGCCCTTCTTCCACTCACCTCTGCCATCTCTGCAACTCGCTTGCCCACTTCTCCCGGGAGAGACGTGTTACTGGCAGCAGAGCCAAGAGGCCCCCACCTGGGCTGCTTCTGTGTCTCTGGCATACTATTGTTCTTTGGACTCTGCAGTTCAGGAAAGTCCAACCTGCTAAATTCAAATTCAGGTTTGGAGGTAGATGCATTTTTTGCAAGGATTCTGGACTTCCGGTCTGTTCGTTTGTGATAACCATCTGTAATTACGGAATGAAAAGTTGGGATAGAAGTCAGGATACAGCTTGCACTCATTAGCACTCAAACCTGAACTTTAGAGAAGCAGGTGGATGCAGCAGGCTGCTGTTAACACACTCCAGCTCGCTTCTACTGCTAACCTTCTCTATAGCAGCGCTAGATACAAATGGTAAGTGGCATCATCGGAATGCACATTTCTGGAATAACTCTAAGCTGGTGGAACTGCCAAGCCTGATTGCACAGCTGAGCACCTAATAACTCATGTTTTTGAGTTGGGCAAACTTAAGGGGAGTCTCACAGACTTCCTGTAAGTAATTAACTTCCTCCTTCCCATTTGCTGGAGCAAAGTGGATAGAGACTGCTGTATAAAGCTTTCAGGCTCTTTCCCATACTTCAATGCCATGGATAGTGAGATAGCTGCCATTCCATGAAGCCCCTCATCAAATTATAAGTCCGAAGTAAGTACATTTAACGCTGACATTTCCACACTTTCATGTGCCAGGTAGTTCATGAGCAGAGTAGATGAGAATAGAAAAATTTATTAAACCAAGTGGTAGAATTACACGTTTAAGAGCATAGCCTTGGTTAAGTACACAAAAACAAAAGCTGTAAGTCAGCTGAAGTGGTACACACTTTTAATCCATTTGGGGAGGCAGAGGCAGACAATCAATCTCTGTGAGTTCGAGGCCAGCATGGTCTACATAGTGAATCCCAAGACAACAAGAGTTACACAGTGAGACCCTGTCTCAAGACCAAACCAAACCAAACACCAACCAAAAAACAACAACAACAAAAAAGCAAAAGCTGTAAATAATTATAGAAATAACTGTGAGGGCTGGAGAGATGGCTCAGCAGTTCAGAGCACTGACTGCTCTCCCAGAGGACCTGGGCTCAATTCCCAGCACCCCCATGGCAGCTCACCATTGCCTGTGACTCCAGCTCCAGGAGATCTGACACTTTCACACAGACAAGTATACAGGCAAAACAATAATGCACATCGAATAAAAATAAGTAATTTTTAAAAAGGAAAATGAAAAGGAATAGTTGTGTCTATGGTCAAACGGTACTAGCAGATGATTTACAGGAGGAACAGACGCAGCTGGAGAATAAGAGATCATAGAAAATGCTTTTCCTAAGTACAGTGGTACATGTCAATAACCCCAGCACCTTGGAGGCTGAGCTAGGAGGATCGAGAAAGTTCAAGGCCAGTCTGGTCTATAGAGTAAGGCCTGGTCTGGAAACTAAAAACAACACAGGTACCAGGTAGACTCCCAAGCTTTCAGCCAGGTGGAAACAGCAATTTTCCAGCTGGGGGATGCCCGTGTAATCTCCAGTAACCAGAATGCCCAGGTTTGGTACTCTTTAGAGTCAAATCTTCCCACTACTTAGTGCTCCTTCAGAATGGAGAAGCGAGTTCAGGAGTGAGCATGGACACACACTGTGTAAAGAATACACTAAGGGCATGTTCTGAACCTTGAGGTCATCACCTGCATGCTATTTGGTGGTCCTAATAGGCTATGAAACCTTCTGAGTATACAGCGCAACACATACCACACTGTAACAACTCTTCCCATCCCCCACTATTACCTGAGAGAAATGATGTCTAGAAACCACAATAAGTCTGATGGCCTCAGCTAGGCCAGACTCCAGGGCACATTTCTTGGAGCAGTCATGATGAGCAAGCCCACAGGAATGGTACTGTTTTGGGAAGGTGGGACAGACTGGCATTATACAAGTTTGTTAGCTTTACCTGGTTTCAAACTACTCTCAGCACGAGTGGAGAGGTGACAGGAACCTCTAGCTGGTCTCATCTCAGATGGCACTGCACTGTCAGCCCCTCTGCTGTTGGACTTCTGCCCGTCACATGTTTTTCTCTCATCAGAGGATTTTTTCTGCAGGAGAGATTTAAAAAAAAAAAAGTATGAAATAAGAAAACTACTACCACACTGAGAAAGAAACTTTAATACAGCAAATCAGTAAGTATTTACAAGTCAAGCATTTAAGGAAAGAACAGACCAAACCATTTATAAAAAGGCGATTATCACAGAAAGGTAAGCAATACTTAAATATCATGCCACATACTAACTTCTTACATCTTAATCAAATGATCAATGTCAGGACACCACAAAACCACAGCATTGCCTCACCTTAAATACACCTTTTGCTTCCTGAGGAGGAGGGCACATGTGCTCATTTCGGGGCTTTGCTGTCCGAAAGCCTGGGTGACACTGTGCTTGGCTGTAATCATACTGCAGGGCTGGCCCTGAGCAAACACTCTGTGCAGAGTCAAGGGCATAAGCAGAACAGGCAAATGGATGCAGTGTTATCTCAGAAGATACGTACTGCGCTGGAAATGCAGGGGCTCCAAAGGCCATGTCTTCAGGGTAAACTTTTTGTCTAAAAAGTGTAAATTTCAGTTGTAGATTTCATAACACAAACCAAGGACTTTCATATTTTTGTAAGACAATAATTTAAACTTTCTAATTTTTTTTTAAGGATCATTTACTCTAGCATTGGAAACTCCCCTATCAACAATCAAGTGAGGGCTAGAGAGATGGTCCAGTCAGTAAGGTGCCCGCACACAAGCACAAGGACGTGGGTTTGGTCTCCAGAGCCTGTGAAAAGCAGTGCGTGGCAGTCTGCATCCATGAGTCCAGCCTGGAATGGGCAAGAGCAGATCCTTGAAGCTCACTGGCCAGCCAGTCCAGTTGACAGATGAGCTTCAGGTTTAGTGAGAGTGTCTCAAAGGAAAGAAGAGACCAGGGAAAGACTCTCAACATCAACCTCAGGCTTCTGCATGATTGTGCATGTACCACACATACACAACACACATGTGCATGCACAAACATACATACAGCCAAATAGAACCATTTTCTTCCTGCAAAGGCTGCTGCTGACCTTCGGTTTAAAACTAATGAACTAGGGTTGGGCAGTAGTGCTCAAAGGTAGACAGCATTCATAAAATGTACAAGGCCATGGGTTGAATCCACACCACCACAAAAAGTAATTTGAAGTTGAAAAATGAGTTCACACGCAATGCCAGCACAGTAGGACACGTGCCAGTGGCTCTGCACCCTACTGCTGGTCAAGTACCTGACAACCACTCTGCAGAGTACAAAGTGGATCTGACAGCACGGAGGCCAGGAGTCACACAGATGGGCACCTTAGTAATCACTCAGTAGACTGAGGATTAAACCTGAGGCCTCGTGTACGTCAGTAAGAGCGGACCATGGAGCCTTATAGCTCAAAGCTTATTTTTTACTTTGTTTTGAGAAAGGGTCTTGGTTTTTGTTTTTTTTTTTTTTGGTTTTTCGAGACAGGGTTTCTCTGTGTAGCTTTGCGCCTTTCCTGGAACTCACTTGGTAGCCCAGGCTGGCCTCGAACTCACAGAAATCCGCCTGGCTCTGCCTCCCAAGTGGAGAAAGGGTCTTGGTAAGTTGTCCAGTCTGGCATGTTACCTATTGACCCTTCCTCTGTCCCCTTCCCATTTACCCTTTCTTCTTACTATTTCTTTTTCCAATACAAATGTGAATTTGTTTGGTTCAGTTTTGCTTTGGTGGCTCTTAGGATCAAGCCCAGGGCCTGATGAATGGCAAGCATTTACTGCTGAGGGGCATCCATAGTTTTAATTGTGGACAAATGAACTCTGCGACTGCACTTTCTAAGAAGTACAGTAGCTTCTGTCCTTCTTGATTGAATTTTTATAGCACAGAATAGAGTTAACCTACAGACTCAGATCCTTCTGGTCGAAGAACCTCCTTTCCTAGTCTACAAGATGTTAATATGAGTGTTTCAGAATATGTGGAGGTATGTGACTACCACTGTCTCCAGGAAATAATCCTTTTTCATAAGGCAAGGCATTCAGAAAATACATACTCAGTCACCGGTAATTCCTGCACAAATGGATAGTAAGTGGCTGCACAGCCTGGGAAGACACAGGCTTCGGAGGACTCTGACCACGCCACACTGAGCCCAGCAAACTTAGGAACAAATGGTTTGACATCAGCTGACAACTTGATGCTATCCTGAGGAAGAAAGGGTGGGTTGGGCTATAACACTCTGAGATTCGCTAAACGCAGATAAACAAAAACCAAAAGAAAGGTGCTCTATTCTAATAGGCCCAATGCTGACTAGAAGGTACACAGCAAAGACAAAAATTTCTTTGGCAACAGTATCTCCCTAACGCTTTTTTTTTTAAAATTAGAAAAAGAAGTTTCCTGGACCTTAAAAGTGAAATGCTGACCTTGAATTAAAGTCGAAGCAAATCCGACATTGTTATGTAATAAGAACCACAACTTGGAATGATTCTGGGGATTTAAACTTGGAAACGGTCGTTTTTACCTCTCTCATCTTTATACATGAGATACATAAGAATCCTGGGCCTACTGTAGCCAAATACACCCAAGGAATGCTCAAAACTGTAGTTTAAAACACACTGCTAACATTTATTGACATTTAATTTTTCAACAAAAAGCATCAAATATTTAATTTGTACTTAGTAACCACATATAACCTTTGAAGAAAAAAAAATCATCTCATGCCCGTGAGTCCCTGGAATCCAAATCTGAGCTTTGTGTTGCAACACGGAGTACGGTTATTCTGACTTCATTACCGCGTTTGGCCAATTTAGAGCGGAATTCTGCGGCCGCCGGTGCGCCATCTAGCGGTCACGCAGGGGGCGGCCCCGGGTCTGAGGAGCCGGGGGCGGTAGGTGGCCTCTGTGGCATCACGTCGCTGGCCGAGCCGTGGGAGGGTCGAGCCGCCCCACCCCCGAACCTCAGCCCTGGTGGCCCCGCGCGTGTGCCTAGGCCCGCAGCCCGCCCCTTACCTCGCCTTCGGGCTCCCGCGGCCGCTCCGACGCCATGGCGGCCACGGAAGAGCCCGCGCCGTGAAGCGAGCGGCGGGCCCAACCAACGACTCGACGTTTCCGCCTACTGGGGCGGCAGCGCCGGGATGTACGTCACCGGAAGGCGACGGAAGCCTTTTTATGCCGGAAGTGCTTAGCGTCCCGGGTCAACGGGGCCGCACGTGGGAACAGAGCAGGTGCTTTTGGCAGGCCTAAGGGTGCGGCTGAGCTCTGCTCCCTGCTGAGCTCTGCTCCCTGCTGAGCTCTGCTCCCTGCTGAGCTCTGCTCCCTGCTGAGCTCTGCTCCAGGGGCCGGGCCTCCAGATAGGGCATTAGGAGGGAGGCCCTCACTGAGGTGATGCAGGCTCATGGAGGAAAGCGGAGGCCACTAACGTTTGGCAGTGTGCAATTTCTAGGGCAAGATAGGATGTCAAAGCATGGTGCTAGCAGGCAGATTTAGAAACCCCAACTACACAAGGGCCGAATGTGTTTAGTTGTCTGAGAAACTGGTGCTGCCTCTGGAGAACAGGAGGCTCAGCAAAACGCACCACAAAGAAACTAAGAACACAGAACTGTGAAGAGATCTAAGGACAGAAGAAAGTCGCCTGCTGCAGCTAGAGTTTTCCTGCCTGGCCCACAGTCAGGACAAATCTCTCTCACCTGCCAGTCCCACAGCCACTCAGACCCAACCAAGTAAACACAGAGACTTATATTGGTTACAAACTGTATGGCCGTGGCAGGCTTCTTGCTAACTGTTCTTACAGCTTAAATTAATCCATTTCCATTAATCTGTGCCTTGCCACATGGCTCGTGGCTTACCGGCATCTTCACATGCTGTTTGTCATCCTGGCGGCTGGCAGTGACTCTCTGACTCAACCTTCCACTTCCCAGCTTCATTCTCCTCCTTGTCCCGCCTATACTTCCTGCCTAGCCAGTGACCAATCAGTGTTTTATTTATTGACCAATCAGAGCAACACATTTGCCATACAGACCATCCCACAGCAGCCTGCAGTGTCAGGCGTTTGGCAAACAGACCTGGAGTCAAAGTGCAGGCTTAGCACAGAACACTAGCCCCTTATTTGAAGCAAGATACCCAGACAGCTCCAGTTCTTGTTCAGGTAGGCCCCACAGGGTTACATACCACGAACACCGAAGGCCATGGCTCAGTGAGTGTGAAGTCACCCTTGTTAATCTAATAAGGGTCTTATGTTACTGGCCATTCATTTTTACATTTCTAATGTGTCTGTGCTTAATTTCTTGGCCGACAAAAATGCATACAAATGGTGTTTCAGTGCTTCTTAAAACAGTTCTCCCTGAAACCACTAGTGTTTTGTAGACATTGTGGACACAACCAATGTAGACAGACAGCTATCTTGGAAATAGAATATCAATAAAGCTGAAAACCTACTTTGAGTCTAGATTAAATATCCCCAGTAATCCCATCATTTGGAGCTTGATATTTCTTTTTCAAGTATGTTTATTTCTTCCAGGGGTAAAATTATTCAGACTCAAGTCAAATTAATTTCAACAATAGTGATAAATGCAACATACAAACTTTATTTAACAAAAGTAACAGGTAAAGTAAAACAGGCACTACTTATATTAAGAAAAAAAACTACAAGAAAATTTATCTTTAACAACTTAAAATAACCTACTTGCAGTTGCATTGAACTGAGCTCTGTTGCTGTGAAGAATACAGCTCATGCACAGGTATGATGAAAGATTTGTACATTTTTCAAGTATTCACTGAATACTACCATATATACACATATACATTAAATTTGAAAAAGATTAGGTGATCCCAGCTGTACTTCATTTTTGTTGTTCTTTTGGAAGAGGTCGTCTAAAGAGAAGAATATGCGGTTCTGTGGAAAGGAAATATTTATCATTAAGTTTCATGCCAACACGTCACTATTTGAAGTGATTAAAATTGTCTCAAAATAATAAACACTGAACACAGGCAAACTATGTTACAATAACATTGCTCCACTATTTTTAATCTTTAGCCTACTCTAGAGAAAAGGTTTCTACCTGTAAAAATCTCATTCCAGGGAAAAGAAATGTTATCTCTTTGAGAAAAGGACATCTCATTCAAAGTAGCTACTGGATCTCATGCTAATGCACTTCAGAAAAATCACCAGAAAGTTGGATATATATGTATGCTAGAGTGGTGGTATATAGTATATATGGTGGTGGATGTATTTGCCTAGCAAGTACAAAGGTCCAATCTCAGCACACAAGCCACCAGAAAGCAAGGTGTGGTGGTATACTTGTAATCCCTGCACTTAGCTAAGAAAGGATGTAGACTTTAATCTCAAAAAATAAAGATAATTGAATCAGTAGAGTTCACCCAATACCTCCCAATTCAGTATGAGGAAAGCCAGGAATCTATAGTTAGATAGATACAGATCCATTGCTTCTGTAGTAGGGAGAATCTTTGAACTCTGAAATATATGTGTCATAATCCCTAGAAAGTTTTAACAGACCCAAGAGTTTAACAATACTGTTTTTTTCTTTACAAGTATAAAAAGATAGCTTTAATTTTCTGTTTTTGTAGTATGTCTTCAAATTTTGTTTCCAGCATTAGTTCTTAATTGATAGTTCCAAACTAGAACTTAAGAACACAAAGCTTCAGTCTAGTTTACTACTTAATGTCTAGAAAACTTTTGGTTAATGCCATACTAGAATAAGATACTTTTCTTTTCTTTCTTTCTTTTTTGGTTTTTTTGAGACAGGGTTTCTCTGTGTTAACAGCCCTGGCTGTCCTGGAACTAGATTTGTAACCAGGCTGGCCTTGAATTCAGAGATTCCCCCTGCCTCTGCCTCCCAAGTGCTGGGAATTAAAAGTGTGCACCACCACGCCCAGAGAATAAGATACTTATACAGGAAGAATGTTTATATGCCTATCTCATTTAACCTTAGGGTAAACAATTCCCTAAAAAGGACTAACGAAAGATGTACTCACATCTAATTGCATCAATTTCTATATATGCACAGGATTTAAACACTTGTTTTATGCTGATTAAGTAAGTCATCTTTTTTTTTTTTTTTTTTTTGGTTTTTCGAGACAGGGTTTCTCTGTGTAGCTTTGCGCCTTTTCCTGGAACTCACTTGGTAGCCCAGGCTGGCCTCGAACTCACAGAGATCCGCCTGGCTCTGCTTCCCGAGTGCTGGGATTAAAGGCGTGCGCCACCACCGCCCGGCAAGTAAGTCATCTTTACAAGTAGATAATGTATTACTTTCATTCTTTTGTTTGTTTGTTTTTTTTCGAGACAGGGTTTCTCTGTGTAGTTTTGGTGACTGTCCTGGATCTCGCTCTGTAGACCAGGCTGGCTTCTAACTCACAGAGATCTGCCTGGCTCTGCCTCCCAAGTGCTGGGATTAAAGGTGTGCGCCATTGCCGCCCGGCATTACTTTCATTCTTGTATCATTTTACTATAAAACAGGACATTATCCAGGGAGTAAGGAATAGTTCATTTACAAAAATAGTTGAGCTATTACTTTAAGTTAACACTGAATGTTTGGGTTTTTAAAAAGTTGACCCTCAACAACTATTTTTATTTAGTTAGCACTTTATAGCAAAGCTTACCTGGCTCATGAATCATGTAATGAACCCAACCTAGACTCTGTTGGACACCAAGTCTCCTCCACTCCTCTTCAGACATTAGATGAGTTTTTGGTACTTGTTTGGAGAGTTCTCTGGGTAACATGACATGCCTGTTAAAAAAGATTCAGCCAGATTAGTGCTGTGTCTTTCCTACCATTATCACTTTATACAGGGACCTTTTAAGATACTGAAAATTTGAAGTCATTTCTCTAAAGCAACTCTGGATTACAATACTATTTGTATTAATCTTGGGTATTCCCTATAACCTATACTTTTAGCTTTGAGGGCTTATGTTCAAGTATTAGGCCAATAGTAAGCTGCACAGAAATGAAAAGCATTTTATTCTTTAGGGTTACCTTTCTAACAGAGTATTTATTATTGATGAATCTTCCAGGAATAGAGTCACCCTCTCCTACAACTTTTGGTTATGAAACAACTCTTGATCTACAAAATATAGGCAGAAAATATTCAAGTACTGAAAAGTATACTCAAAGTAAAAAATATACCCACTGTCCCGTTGGACAGACTGATGGTAGCTGGATAGCCAGAGGCAATTATAAAAGTGAGCTGCATAGGAAGGAGGAAGGAAGGAGTCTAGTCTTATGATTAGCTGTCACCGTCACCTCAACCTGGGATTACTAAACTTTTAATAAAGGGCGGGTAAGAATGGACAAACTAAGACAATGTATTTTCTGCTACACAATACTAGATCTGTATTAGATACAAGTTCTTGTATATATTCCATAGTTTGCTTTATGCTTCAGAATTAAGACCCAAAATACTAACTCATGCCCATGAACTTCATACAGATCTTTAGTTTCCCAGTAGTTACTGAAGCAATTCCAGAACTTTAAGGTAGACACCTAAATAAAAATCTTTTTTTTTTTTGGAGCTGAGAACCGAACCCAGATGAACACATAGAATTGTTCCTTTTCCTATGTGGAAAACCCACAATAATCCTTTTTCTTGGTAACAGATTTAACATAATTTAATGAACAATAAGCTAAATCAGTAATGTAGAAGTATTATACTTGGAATACCATTAAGACTTATCAGCCACCACATCTATCACCAGTGACTCAGCTGTTTCATGGGGGTAGGGGTGGGGCGCATTCTACTTTTGGGCAAGTTGGCCTCAAAACTCCCTATCTTTTTGCCTTAGGCTCCCAAGTACAATAATTACAGAACTGTGTACAACATCCAGCCAGTTTGTTTCTTTCTAATGAATTGACCATTAGATTTCCAAATTTCTGAAATGGCCAACAGACCATAGAGAGACATTTCTTTAGGCTCCTGCTTGAAACCAACAGTTCCAGCAAACTGTTGGCCTTGATTCAGGGCCAAAACAAATACATACAATTCTAACAAGTACAAACAAATCTGTACCCTTGCCTGAATAGAGCACTTAATTATCACAAAGAATCTCTTTCTAAAACCCTAATTGTCAGCTTCATTTTACCCTTTCTGGTATTAAGTTTATACAAAATCAGCAATTAGCAATTTTTTTGACCAATATAAGCTGTGAGATGACAGAGTGTGTAAATTTAGTTCTGTATTTTTGGACATGGAACAACTCAATCCATAATCCTTTCTAAGCACCAAATTGTCCACAACATAGATTTTAGGATATGGCTTATTATTTCAATGCAAATAATCCTTAAAACAACTTTACAACATAAGATAAATGACTACAAAATAGTTATGCTTACTAACACAGTACACTCCCCTCAAACATTTCCAGGCAACTATATAAATATTCTTACGAGGGCTGGAGAGATGGCTCAGAGGATAAGAGCACTGACTCTTTCCAGAGGTCCTGAGTTCAATTCCCAGCAACCACATGGTGGCTCACAACCATCTTTAATGAGGTCTGGTGCCCTCTTCTGGCCTGCAGTCATACATGCTGTATACATAATAAATAAATAAATCTTAAAAAAAAATATTCTTGCTCATTCCAGTTACCATTCATTCTTGAAACAGATCATAGTGGAGGCAACAAGGGTTGCCAAATTTCAGTGCACCTTCTACTATTTTTGAGATGGGAATTTTGTGTAACCCTGAGAGACCTTCAAGGCCTCATCCTCAACATCTATTTTTTTTTTTCAGACAGGGTTTCTCTGTGTAGCTTTGCGCCTTTCCTGGAACTCACACTGTAGTCCAGGCTGGCCTTGAACTCAGAGATCCGCCTGGCTTTGCCTCCCGGAGTGCTGGGATTAAAGGCGTGCGCCACCACCGCCAGGCATCAACATCTAATTTTTAAGACTGCACAAAATACCTTGTGATCTTATATTCCTATGGATAGTCTCAAATATTCAGATAGAAGTTGCTTCTACCTAAGTCATGTCAACAGGTTGCACCTCACCAGGGGTCGATTATAATTGTAAATTTTTAAGTAGTGTTAAACTCACATGATGTCTCTACCTGACCACATTAAGGAAAACTATTTCCAAAACCTAGTTTTTGTTGGGAAAAAAAAAAAGTGCCACATATTACCACTTTATAAAAGTACCCAGAGAGAAATCCTCAATTTTCCTTCTGTAAAGACAGACTCTCATGCTGAGCATGGTGGTGTACACCTTTACTCCTAGGACTTGGGCGGCAGATGCAGTCAGATCTGTCTACACATCAGGTTCCAGGACAACTGGAGCTATAGAGACCATCTCAAAAAAAAAAAAAAAAAAGATAGGCTCCCACAACAACCCACTGTTTTTTCATAGTAACCACTCACTGACAAAGACAAAAACACTAAGCTTCTACCCAACACACATACTTCTACTATATCTAAACCATCCTAGATTCACACCTGTGTCATATCACCAGTACATTCTCTTTCAAGAGTACCTCTCTAATTCCTCTCGTTTTGTAAAGGTTAGTGAATGCTCAAGCCATGTGTGGCGACACACCCATAATCTCAGCTACTAGGAAGGCTGAGGGAGAATGGCAAGCTTGAAAAGCCACTTAATGAGGACCTGGTTTCAAAATAAAATCTCTTGGGCTCTCGATTCCATTCCCAATACAGCAGTGGGTAGTAGACCAGCTCCTTACTTACATTCTAACAAATTACTTCAGACAGGCCAGCAGTTGCTTTCAAACACGTACAACTTACAGCCCAAGTTTAAAAACTACCACACTCTGGCAGTATGTCCTAAAGAAATGTATACAAGCCCATAAGCCTTTATGCTAAACACTTAGAATTATTTGCCAAATTTAGAAGGCAGTACAATAACTTTTTGGATATCCCCAAGCTGGGCTCCGGGTTACTATAACCACCGAACATTAATGCCAACTTATCACATGCTTACAATTACTATGTAAACATACTAATTAAATTTTATAGCTAAGAAAAAATCCACGAGATTTCTTAGTTAAAAACATTCAAGTTCAAGCATTACTAAACTGTAAAACAGACCAAAGAAAGTTTTCCGGCTGTGAAGACTTCTGTACTAAGGGCGTGAGAGAACTGGGGGGAGGTTAGGGAATCCACTTTCTAAGTGTCTTTCTTATGCCTCAAACAGCATGCTGGAGACTAACCTTTTTAAAAGGGCAGCAAACAGAAAACACGGTCACTGTTTGGCCACAGGCGGCATAGGTTTTACCCACCTGGGTATTATCCCAGAATGCAACGCTTTAGTCCCAACCCAGTAGGACCCAGCGGCCTAAAGGCCTTTGAAACCACACCCCAGGTCGGCCTGAATACAATACAGCTAACTGTAATCATCCCCGACTTTCCATAATCCATTTGCTTATTACACTAACGTAGGCACTACTTTCTAGAGCATCTCAGGGTTCAAAATCCAAAATCCCTCAAAAGCCCCAAACCAGGCCAAAGCACATTAGCAGTTGAAGGTAATGGCGGGGGTGGGGGGGGGGGCAAAAACCTTCCCAGGGTAACCTCGAGGTTTCAACTTGAAGCTCCTTAATAACGACGCCCCAAGTTACTGCTTCTGCAGAGTTACCCCAACACACACTCGCCAATCCCCGTCGGGTGCACCTCCCGGGACTTCCCCTCAGGGCCAGACCCGGCGAGCGCCGCGTGCGGTCGTGAACTCCCGGATGAGGCGCTGCCGAAAGAACCACCTGACTCCCCAGCTCCTGCGAACCCCGAAGGCGGCGACACAAAGCGCGGCTGTCCGGACGGATGGAGGCCTCTAAGGGACCCCGAGTCCCGACCACCGGGTCTGACCTCCCGGCGCCGCCCTCCTCCGCAGGCGCTGCTCACCGGTACTCGTAGTGCTCGTCGAAGTACTTGTCCGAGTAGTAGATCTGCTTGTGGGCCATCCTGCCGGTGCGCGGAGGAGAAAACAGGAGCAGGAAACGGGGCGCAAGGAGCTCCACGTCCGCCTAGGGCCGGCGCAACGACTCCAATGAGGCCAACGACCGCAGGCCCAACGCTCTGGATTTGAATCCGACAGCCCGCCGCCGATTGGACGGAGTCACTGACCAATCACGCTCCACGCAGGCCGCGAGGACAGGTAACCAATCAGAGACCTGTTGCGGGGCTACGAGGGCGGGAGTAAGGCTGGGACAGCGCTGTGGAGATGAGGGCCCGGCGATCCCTAGAGTTACGAAAGAAGGGCGGAGCCGAGTCGTTATGGACCTCACAGCGCGTGCGCAGTGGCTTAGACCAGGCCGTTGGGAGGGTGGGGCCCGAGGTGAGGTATCGCGGGGTTTGGGGAATAAGGCGGGGCTGGGAGGGAGAACTGCCCGCGCGGTGGGCTGGGCTGCGGGCCTCTGGGGTCATTAGCCGAGGAGGCTGTCTTTGCACACCCTGCCCGGCGTGCGGAAGTGAGCCAGCCGGCTCCCAGCCGCCTCTGCACGGAGACGGTCGCTCACCTAGTGTGCTGCCCCAAGCAGGGAGAGCCCAGGTGTGGAGAGTTCTGGACATAGGGTGCCCTCCGCCACCCCTAGAGCACCGCTAATTACTGGCCGGTGCTATCTAGTCCCAGCTTAAAAAGATGTACTCGTGTAAAAGGAAGTTTCCGGAAGAAAACGTGCTAGGATGTAAGTAGAGACTTGACGAAGCAAGTTACAAATAACCGTTTTCTCCAACGAGCCGGTGTCAGTTTTTCTGTTCAATTCCGTTTCATGCGCATTGTTAGTTGCAGCACGCAGCGGAATAAAAGGAGTCCCCGTGATCTCTCTGAATTACTCGGGTGGGGCTACTGGGGTAACAGTCTTACCCTTGCCTGCTGGGCACGGTGGCCCACGCCTTTAATCCCTGCACTCTAACGGGTTCTAGGGCTACGAAGTGTGACCCTATCTAAAACAATAAAGACAGACGTCAACACGGTAGGTAGCCTCACTACTGCAAATTTATTGTAGTGTTGAAGGGTGATCAGCTGCCTGCGTAGGTAGTCATTCTAACGACAGTTTTCCTTACTTCACTCGGCCCGGTTAAAAAGAGAACACAAGGTCTTCTGACTTCTTACACTACTTAAAAGTTATTGTTGGTACTATAATAATAAATATGCTGGCCGGGCGGTGGTGGCGCACGCCTTTAATCCCAGCACTCGGGAGGCAGAGCCAGGCGGATCTCTGTGAGTTCGAGGCCAGCCTGGGCTACCAAGTGAGTCCCAGGAAAGGCGCAAAGCTACACAGAGAAACCCTGTCTCGGAAAACCAAAAAAAAAAAAAAAAAAAAAAATATGCTAATTGCCTCCCGACCATATCACATGGGATGACAGGTGGGATTAAAACTTCAACATGTGAATATGAGGAAGTAAGCATACACTCTGTAACGCGGATATCCTTGAGATCTGAGAGTCTTGTTCTGAGAGGTCTTAATTACTGTCTGGAAGTAAGTTGCTTTTCCAAGTAGTCTCTATTGATTGAATCCTTTGGGTTTCCTGCCCACCAGTTACTGCACATTTGCCTACTTGTTTGCCTGTCTGCACTATTTACTCTCCATGCAACGAATGTAGATAGCATATTTATTTTATTCATTACCCATGTCTAGAGCATAATAGAGTCCCTGTGCATGGTGAATACTCAATAATGAACTATTTTTTTTTAAACTTTAAATAAACCGTCAGCATAGGAATACATTCCTAAATAGGCATAATAATGTACTGTGATAGTAAAGATGTGAACCGGGCAGTGGTGGCCCATGCCTTTAATCCCAGCACTTGGGAGGCAGAGGCAGGTGGATCTCTGTGAGTTCAAGGCCAGCCTGATCTACAGAGCAAGTTCCAGGACAACCAAAGCCTTTACACAGTGAAACCCTGTCTTGAAAAACAAAAAAGATGTGAACAAATTCAAGGAGATAAAGTTGCTAGCTTACGTAGAATCTGGGAAAGAAAAGCTTTATAAGGGATGTATTTTGAAAGAAAGTAGTCAGGCATTGTGGCTCACCTTGTTATCCCAGAGCTCAGGAGGCTGAGATAAAAGGATTGTTGAGAGTTCAAGGTCTCCCAGGGTTCCATAGTACCAGTCAAACATGATTACATAGTGAGATTGTGTTCTCCAGAAACAAATGAGGTATTTCTCAAATATAGAGTAGTGCGAGCCACTCCTCTGTACCAAAGACTCAGGTTTAGCAATTAATATTTTGCTGATGTTTCGTCCATCTCCTCCCTCCTACTCTCATACCTCCCCCCCCCATTTTGGAACAGAGTCTAACTATGTAGTTCAGGCTGGCCTTGAACTCATGTTCCTCCTGCCCCGTTCTGGGATTATAGGCAAGTACCATTGTGCCCAGCTTTAGGAAACACACACACACACCATTATCCCTGAAGAGATTTGGAATGTTTTGGTATTATATGCTAAAAATCAGGGGCAGCAAATATATTTTTGATAATATCACTGTGTAATTTACCACATCAATACTATAAAGCAAAAAAGAAATACCATTATTATTGTCTTAATAGATGCAGAAAAATAATAAAATTCACATACTTATAATTCAAACTCAATAAATCTGCCAGGCACTGATTAATACTCAGAAATTAGAAGAAGGGGAAAGCTTGTTAACTGGAAGAGTATCCATAAAAATATTAACATAATTCTAGCCGGGCAGTGGTGGCGCACGCACAGAGAAACCCTGTCTCGAAAAACCAAAAAAAAAAAAATAATAATAATTCTTATGGAGAAACATTATAAGTATTCCCTTAATTTTTTTTATTAGCTTTTTTTAGCAGCTGGACATTGTAGGCAGTGTATGCTCAGTTTCCTTTCAGAATAATCACAGGGGCCTCTTCCTGTGTCTCTGTGTCCTTAACATCCACCGTAGTAACGAATTTCAGGATAAGAGCATGCACTTGAAGAGAGTCAAATGTTGGTGTTACCGCCTTTACTCAGTAGAGTAGCCTAAAATAACATTTGCTTTGAGGCTAGTCCTTATGAGGCATACTAGCATCTACCTTCTCCCTCTGGAGGACTTTCCTCAGGAATGCTATCATCAGGAAGACATATAGGGAACTAATTTGACTACCCTTTGATTAGTACCAGCTGCCTTGAACACAGCATATGAAATGAAGCAGTGGTGTGGTGATAGACAGTGTACCCTAATACAATTTGCCTGAGGATCAGAGGACAGAGCCAGCCACTAGATTAGACATAGAGGCCAGGCAGTGGTGGCACACACCTTTAATCCTGTCACTCAGGAGGTAGAGATCCATCTGAATCTATGTGAGTCCAAGGCCACACTGGGCTACATGAGCGAAGCAGAGCCAGGCAGTGGTGGCACATACCGAGATCTTATGTCTTTGCTTGGGAAGCACACACGCCTTTAATCCCAGGAAGTAGTATGGCAGGGCAGAGAATGGTATATAAGGCATGAGAAAACAGGAACTCACTCTCTTTAGGCTGAGGATTTCGTAGAGGTAAGAACTAGTGGCTGGCTGCTCTGCTTCTCTGATCTTTCAGCTTTCACCCTGGTATCTGGCCCTGGGTTTTTTATTAAAAAACCATCTAAGATTTGGCCCAATTCTATGAGGGCCTGAGTTCAAGTCTCCAACACCCATGTAAAAAGCCAGGTGTGGCCATACACAGCTGTAACCCAGCACTGTTCGAGGAAAGGAGGAATGGAGACAGGAGGATTGCTGAGGCTTGCTAGCCTCCAGTCTAGTACCAGGTTCATAGAGAGACTTTGTCTCAAAGGAATAAGGTCAAGAATAATTGAGAAGGACACTCAGTATCCTCCTTTGGCCCCCATATAAACACACACACACACACACACACACACACACACACACACACACACACACACACTTTTAGGCTGGAAAGATGGCTCTGTGGGTTAAGTTGTTTGCTGCTAAGTCTGACTACCTGAGTCCAGACCAAAGAACCCAAATGGTGAAAGGAGATAATCGACTCCATGTAACACAAATTGCTAAATGGTCTTATTAATGAAAAATCCGGAGCCAGATATTGGGGTGAAAGCTGAAAGATCAGAGGGATAGAACAAGCCAGCCACAAGTTCTTACCACTAGGAAATCCTCAGCCCAAGAGAGTTAATTCCTATATACTCATGCCTTATATACCTTTCTGTGCCCTGCCATCTTACTTCCTCTCTCTGCCCAGCTACATCACTTCCTCTTTCTGCCCAGCTCTATCACTTCCTGTCTTTCTATACAAACCTCCAGACCTCTATGGTTAACTAATGCTGGGATTAATGGCATGTGCCACCACGCCTGGCTCTGTTCCCAGTGTGTCCTTGAACTCACAGAGATCCAGATGAATCTCTGCCTCCTGAATGCTAGGATTAAAGGCATGTGCTACGACTGCCTGGCCTCTGTGTTTAATATAGTGGCTGGCTTTGTCCACAGATTCCCAGGCAAGCTTTATTTGTTAGAGTGCAAATCAAATATCACCAGAACTCCACAGAGTTGTTCTCAGACCTTCACTCAGGCCATAGCACATACTCAGCTTTTGCTAGATAAGTGTAAACAAATAAAAATAATTAAAGCTCTTTCTGTGTGCACTGTTACAGAGTTCTTTTACCTTCTCTTCATTAGTGTGTCCGTTAGAATGGCTCATTACCATTAAATTGTTTGCTGTTGTTGGGTGTATGGGTAATTAATTATACAAAGTGATGGGCTTCATCATATTTTCATACCTGTGTATCAGACTTGCTGCTTTGCTCATTCACTTCACCATTACTTTTGCAACGCAGCCTTCTTGACAAGATGCAATTTGAGGATAAATGGTAAGTTTCACTTAGATAAAGTCATACCATTTAACACCAGCCTGACTTACGTTTGCTTTTTTGTACTTTCCCCTTCTCTAAGTCTGGCATAAAGTCTACATTGACCCCATAAAATGAATTTGTTTTGTGCTCTTTTATTTGTGCTCTAACAAATGAAGCTTGCCTGGGAATCTGAGGACAAAGCCAGCCACTATATTAAACATAGAGACCAGGCATTGGTAGCACACGCCTTTAATCCTAGCATTCGGGAGGCAGAGATTCATCTGTTTTTCCTCCTTTTTTAGTATTCAGACCAACTTCCTTAGAATGTGATTTACTTTGGTTTTATGTTAATATATAGCTCATTTTTTTTTCTTTTTTGATTGTGTTGAGACAGGGTCTATCTATGTAGCCTGGCTCTCCTGGAACTCTGGATTGGATCCACTTTTCTCTACCTCCCAAGTTCTGGGAGTAATGGTGTGTGTCATCACTCCTGGCTTAGCTCAGAATTTTATTGCTCTCTTCCAATACCTTTCAAATGCTACAGAGATTGGAAAACTTGGAATGTTCCATGGATCTCATCATACCTGTGAGTCTGTACATGGTTAACTATCCAAAGGCTACTTCTATAACAAATTAAGCATAAAGATGGGGAAGGGAGCTAAAATTGTTTTTCATTGCCACCTAACGAACTACCTCCCAAGAGTAATGACTTTAAACAGACTTTCCCCCTTCACAGTGCTCTTACCTGCTGAGCCATCTCTCCATCCCAAGAAGGAGCTTCTTATAAAATAGAACTCAGGTTTTTAATAAACATTATCAGAGCAGTGGGGAAAAACTTCATAGATGCTCCAAATAATCCATGGCCAGTATATGGAGAGCTATCTATGTGTCCACTTTAAAATTGGAAACAGTGTTAAGGTGCATGTTGTTACCATGTGCAAATATGATCACATCCTGTGTGCTGTGATGTGAAAAAGATTTCAAAACTGCTACTCTTGTACCCAAAGCCCTCCAAAAACCATCAAGAGACCAAATCTGATGCAAAAGCAAAGAGTCTTTTTATTTTATGTTAACTGGAGTCTCTCCATCTGTCTGACGCAGCAGCAGAGCAGGAGAGACCCTGAGTAGCAATGGGGCAGGGTTTTTAAAACAAGGGGGGCTTGGGGTCTACAGACTACATAGGAACAGACTCAGGATTTATGCAAGTGGCAATCATGTTAGTAACTTTTAATTGGCTAGGGTTAGTTGGGGATTACAGTTATCCATTTTGGAGCAGGCCTGGACAGGTCCCAGGCTTTGTCCTTGAGCTGCCCTGGAGGCTGGCTGGCCTAGCACACACTGTGGGGTCTGGCTCAGAGGCCCAGGCTTGGTGTGTCCTATCTTCCTGTCCCTGCTGGCAGGGGCATCAGTGATTAATTGTCTTTTGTTCATGGCCTTCCCAGAAACTGCTTGCTCAAGTCTCAGGAAACTGAACTTGAGGCCTGACCTCTGAGAGAAGATTGAGCAGCCTGTAATGGCGTCTGCTCGGTCCTCTCACTACAAAGTGTGTAACCCAACAGTGAGTGTCCCAGATCTTTTTTTTTTTTTAATATTTTTTTAAAGATTTATTTATTCATTATGTATACAGTATACAGCATATGTGACTGCAGGCCAGAAGAGGGCACCAGATCTCATTACAGATGATTGTGAGCCACCATGTGGTTGCTGGGGATTGAACTCAGGACCTCTGGAAGAGCAGGCAGTGCTCTTAACCACTGAGCCATCTCTCCAGCCCGTGTGTCCCAGATCTTTATGGAGAGAGGCAGTGATGAGTTCCAGCGGTCAGCTTGACTGGATTAAGAAACCATGGGCATCGGTGAGGAAGAACACCAGTATGTCTGTGAGGGTTTTTCCAGAGAGTATTAACTGAGCAAGTCTGCTGTGAATGTGGGCACCACCACCCAGAGGTGGATGAAAAAAGCCAGCTGAGCACAAGTTTCCCTTCTCTCCCGACCCACGCAGAGGTGAACAAGCAGCCCCATGCTTCTGCCACCATGCTCTGCCTACAGTGTGGACTGCCCCCTCACCCCGCCCCTCACCCCACCCCCCTCACCCCAGCAGCCAAAAGGAACCTTCTTCCCTTAAGTTGTTTCTTGCTGGCTGTTTTGTGCCACATGAAGAGTAGTTATAACACAACCAAGGATGGTTAGTTAGGAGTGCCTCTCTAAACCAGTGCACATTTTGGAGAGTTCTTCTGTGTTCATTATCTATTCCTCATGATAAACATCTTTTTGGCCCCATTTCCAGAGTGCTGGGGTGACTAATGCATATTACCACGCCTAGCTTGATAATTTTCTTAAAACATTATTACTAAGTTAGAAAAACAAACAAACAAAAACCCAGAAACCAAAAGAAATTCGTGTGGCCAGAAAGGGGCTGAAGAGATGGCCCAGTGGTTAAGAGCCCTTGCTGCTCTTCCAGAGGTCCTGAGTTAGGTCCATAACAACCTCATCAGGCACCTCACAAGAGCTCTAACTCCAGATCTGAGTCACCCGGCTCCCTTCTCTGGCCTCTGTGGGCACCCATTCACATGTACCATACACGAAATATTTTTTATTGATACGTTTTTGGCTTTTTGAGCCTGAGTTTCTCTGTGTAGCCTTGGCTGTCCTGGAACTTGCTCTGTAGACCAGACTGGCCTCAACTAAAATATCCACCTGCCTCTGCCTCCTGAGTGCTGAGATTAAAGGTATGTGCTACCATGGCCTGGCTCAAAATACTTTTTTAAAAATTAAAAAAGAAGGTCAACAAGTATATGGAAAAAAGTTCATAATTCTTAGGAATTCAAGGCATTGAGAGTCGTATCTCAGCCTTAAGAGAAAATCAAAACTGCATTGAGACATGTTTGTTGTTCTTTTCTTTCCTTTTTTTCCCCCCACGGGGTTTCTCTGTGTAGCCCTGGCTATCTTGGAACTTTCCCTGTAGACCAGGCTAGCCTTGAACTCAGATCTGCCTGCCTCTGCCTCCTAAGTGTTTGAATTAAAGGCGTACACCACCATACTCAGCTACAATGAGAATCTTATCCCTATGAGAAAAACTCAAAATAACAAATGCTAGCCAAGTGGGGGTGTGGTTTGCCAGGGTATATACACAGATGCTAGTAATATAAATTAGAATAGTGTCTATGGAAATCAGTATGGTAGTTCCTCAAAAAACTAAAACTAGAACTGGTCAATGATCCAGCTGAATCCTGCTGGCTCTGCACCTGAAGGACTAATTTAGTATATGGCAGAAATACCTGCACACTCTTGTGGCACCATTCACAACAGCCAAGATGTAGTATCAGACTAGGGGTGTGTGTGTGTGTGATAAATTTTATTCATTATAAGCAATGAAACTACATCTTTTACCAGGAAATGGATGGAATTATAGACTACATTAATCGAAATGAGGTAAAGTCAGAAAGGCACATGCCCATGTTTTCTCTTAGGTGGAATCTAGATGTCTTTAAAAGGTATGAACACGCACATATATGATATGAAAGTAGAAAAGAAACTACTTGGAAGGAAGAAGAGGAGGACTTAAGGGCACAAGAAAAGTAATGAGGAATTAAAAGGAACAAATTACATGCTACACATTGTGAAGATATCAGAGTGAAACCCATTATTTGTATGCTAAATTAAAAAATAAAAATAATTTCTCAAGATATTTCTCAAAGGGTTATAGAGGTGCATGCCTGTAATTCCAGCACCCTGGAAGCTGAAGAAGGAAGTAGATAGGCATTGAATAGCTAGCTATTAAAGGGACTAAAGATATCCTAGAATAATTTGGCCCTGGATTGGCAACACCACAACCCTATAAAATCACCAAATTCTAATCAGTCAGTTAAGCCCAGTTAGCCTTGTAGAATCTTCAACAGAGGTGTCATTTTTTTCTTTCTTAGAGTTTGAGTGTGTGTGTGTGTGTGTGTGTGTGTGTGTGTGTGTGTGTGTGAGGGAGAATCTGGAACTTGAACCTAGGGCCTGGTACATGCTACCAGGTACAAGCACACTACCACTAAGTTGAGTTCCTAGAGTTCCTAGTCCTGATACTGTTAGGTATTTAGAAGTGGTTTTTGTACACTCACCCCCTCCACTGTCTGTGGTTTCATAGGGATTTTCTGGAGCTCACCTCATTGACATGAACAGGTATATCTGGAAAAGTTTGTCATCATAACTGTCACTTTGTTCTGGGGCTGCTGAAGGAGCCAGAGGCAAATGCCAAAACTAACAAAGCATATCCTCCTCATTCTGGTCAGCTGGGAGATCAGATACCAGGAGCTGTGGGTGCAAAGCAGAAATTAGCCATCAAATTATGACTCTTAGGGACATATGACTCTTAGGGTACTGCATCTTCTGGTGGCAGCGCACGAAAAAGGAAATGGAAATAGGAAACGGCTTGTCTGTCCTCACTCTCATTCCCTGGTTCATCTGGCCTGTTGCCTAGACGTTCCTTCACTGATATTAGAACTTACTTCTTCAGGATTCCAATGTAGGCTCAAGACAGCAAGCTCTTTAGGAATACCTCTACAGCCAGATTAGCACTGTTGAGACATCCAGGCTTGCGGACTGAACAACTACTGGATCCTTGGCCTTTCCATCAGGAGACAGCCATTGTTGGATTACCCAGACCACAGCCTGTTAGCCAGTCTGATAAATCCCATGTACATGAAAATAAATTAAAAATTTGTAAAGTGATTTGGAGAAATGACTTGGTGTTTAAGAGCTCTTGGTAGAGCCTGGTGGGTCTCTGTGAGTTTGAGGCCAGCCTGGTCCACAGAGCAAGATCCAGGGCAGGCACCAAAACTACACAGAGAAACCCTGTCTAGAAAAACCAAAAAAAAAAAAAAAAAAAAAAAAAAAGAGCACTTGGCAGAGGATCTAGTACTCACATGGTAGTTCACAGCCATCCATAGTTCCAGTTTCAGAGAATCTAATGCTCTCTCTGCAGGCAGGCAGCAATGCACACATGCACGCTCGCACGCACGCAAACACACACACACACACACACACACACACACACACACACACACACACTTTCAGGTAAAACACGCATAAAATAAATAAATTGAATACAATTTTAAGTGATATCAACTAAGAATTTAAAAATAAAACATGACTCTTAGCTTCCCTTCCTCCACTCCTTCTCCTCAGCTAGTACTTTGATACTTCCTGGGTCCCAGGCTGGACGCCACACACACATGTAGCCCTTCAGCAAGTTCCTAAGGGAGTTTTGGAGGAACGCTGTGACTCTGACAGAGGCAAGTGGAACCAAGACTGAGTAGGCATGTCAACTGTGCTGAAGACACGTCTGTCAGTGAGTGGACACACACCTGGGGGTGCGTCTTGACACACAACTCCTTCTGAGTGCTGTCTTCAGGGTGCTGCTTGTGGATCAGGCTACTATGTTTTTCCAAATCCTCCCCTCCGCCCTTGTTGGTGCAGTCTTACCAGTTTTAGCTGCCCTGGAACTTGGGATCTTCTTGCCTCAGACTCCCCGGTGCTGGATTATAGGCACACATCACCATAGCCAGCTTATTTTATTATTACTGTATGTGTTTTGTGTTCAGAACTTCCCTTCTATGTGGCAGCTTCTGAGAGTTACTTCTGAGGTTTTTAGTGACAAAGCCCAGACTTTGCCAACCCAAAAAACTGCTTGGCAAACCATCCCAACATGCCAATCATAGAGAAAAGTAATGTTGAAAAGTCAAGAGAAAGACTCTAATGTGTCCTGGGTCCAGGAACAGAGAAGAGGCTTCATATGTTGCAGGTTCACCTTCGGGGTATAAGAACTTTAGGTTTAAATAGAGGAAGCACTGGATCAGCAGCACGAGGCACACACAACTAGGCTGTCCTGGCCAGTGATTACAGATCTTTAGTAAGAATGGAACCAGATGTGATAACAATTGCTAGCCCCAAGATACTCTCATCTTAGTGCTTTAGGCTTGAGGAGGAATGAGGTTAGTGAATGAGTCATTTGTCTCATTACTTTGACAAAGTACCTGGCAGAATTAACTTATGGGAGTAAGGGTGTGTCTGACTCACAGTTCCAGGGTACAGTCCGTCATGGTGGGGAAAGCATGGCAGCAGGAATGGGAGGCGTCTGGTCACACTGCATCCACTGTCAGGAAGCAGAGAGGCATAGATGCTGGTGCTTGGCTGGATCTCATTTTTTATGCACCCCACAGTTAGGATGGGTCTTCCCATCTCACTTAACCTAGATAATTAATCTGGATAATATTTCATGGACATGACCAGAGTTTTGTCTCTATAGTCATTTTAAATCCCATCAAGTTGACAAGGCTAACCATCACAGATATCACTAGTTTCTAGACACTCTGAGTGGTTTACATCCCCGCATGCAGAGGTCAGCAGATGAAGCAAGGCAAAGAAGACAGGTGCAGAATGAAGACAGATGCCAGGCTTCCATCCTGCTTTGGGCTACCTTGTAGTCTCCAAGAAGGGCCCAGTACTTTCCAGCCAAACACCATCTTACATGTTAAGTTACAAGGGGTTTTAAAGGGAGCAGGCAAAAGCACCATTTTGCTGAGTACTGCCATTTTAACTTCAGACTCCATTTTACTTGTAGGGGGAAATAAAGCCCAGGTTCCCAAGCCCCAGGGAAGCTGGGAACTTTCCAATGGCTGACCAACCTCCTCCCTAAACCATAGAAATAGTTGTTATGCATATTTACTTCTCTAGAAAAGTTATGGCTGTTCCTAACAATGGAAAGAACAAATAAATCTGATTGGTTGAACTAAAAGGCTTGTATTGTATGTTGGTTGCACACAAGAGAAGTCCCTAATCTTTGATTTCTGATTGGTGAAAATTCTAACTGTAACTTGGCAACAAATGTTTGTGAATTTTGTGTTTATAAACTCCATTTCTGTCCCTGCTCCGGGCTGTCAGGAGAAACAAGGCTCCTGAGTCCTTGTCCTGCAGCCCTGATCCATCAGTGACCTGCTTATGTGGTGAATTATTAAAATCTTTGGAACCCATAGATGTTATCTCTCTCCTTCCTTGTGGTGCATAACAGGCTAGGTGTAACAGTGTTTCTGTTATCTGATGTCTTTTCGGAGTTTCATTAAGGCTCACTGTCTTAGTTAGGGTTTCTATTGCTGTGATGAAACACCATGACCAAAAAGCAAGTTGGGGAGCAAAGAGTTTATTTGGCTTACACTTCCACATCACTGTTTATCACTGAAGGAAGTCAGGACAAGAACTCAGGCAAGACAGGAACCTGGTAGCAGCAGCCAATGCAGAGGCCATGGAGGGGCGCTGCTTACGCTTGATCTCCATGACCTGCTTAGCCTGATTTCTTGTAGAACCCAGGACCACCAGCCCAGGGATGACACCACCCACCATGGACTGGGCCCTCCCACATCTATCACTAATTAAGAAAATGCCTTACAGCCAGATCTTATGGAAGAGTTTTCTCAATTGAGGTTCCCTCATTTCAGAGAACTCCAGCTTGTGTTCTCTGATAAAAAACTAGCCAATCTGCTGTCGGGATAGAAAATAAATGAAAAAAAATTAATAATAAGAAACCTAGCCAACATTCTCAGCGCCTCCCTTCCAGATGACATTTGCGTATTCTCTCTTTTGTTTCCAGTTGCCTTTCCTGCCCACCCAGTGAAAGTTCTGTCTTGCCGCCGCCTTTGATGCTGCACTTAGCCAGCATCCTTTCTTGGGTAGCTGACACTGGATTCACACTGCCTCTGAGCCCCAGAACCTGACCTTGAGCATGCTGCACAAGTTCAACATGCTGGTGACATGAGGACTGAAGGAAAGAAGTGAAGCTATCCAAAACATAATCCAAAGGAGTAGGCCCCAAGGTTTCCCTCCATGACATCCTTGTGCTGCTTCCTCTCTGTTCTTGAATTCTAGCCCCTTCCCCCTTTTAAAAACAGGGTGTCACTATGTAGTTTTGACTAGCCTAGAACTCACTATGTAGAACAGCCTGGCCTTGAACTTACAGAGATCTGCCTGCTTCTGCCCACTGAGTGCTGAGATTAAAGGTGTGCACCATCACATCGAGCTCTAGATTTCTCTTTTGATACCATGAACAACCCAATGCCCGTTTCATTTTAGCTTTGGACTTAAAGGGATTGTAATGGTTTTTGAATACTACCTGTGCAGATTAAAGTGTTAGAAACAATAATCTCCATGGGCAAAGGAACACACAAACAAAGCAAAAGTAACTTGGCAAGTGAAGCGTTTATCTAATTATTCTTTATCAATAAAAAGTCTGGAGTCAAATATGGGGGGTAAGAACTGTGGGAGGCCAGCTGGGAGACTGGCTCCCACATTTTACCCTAGAGTACTCTTAAGGAGGGAGGGATAAGAGATTTAGATAGAAGGATAGAGGGGAGAGAAACAGATAGAAACACAGGATAGCCTTGGGAGCGACTGGATCCTTATTCACCGGCCCCTCCTGGCTCTTCTAAAGTGCTATTTATAGGAATGCCAAGGGGTGGAGCAAAAGACCTCCCCCAGCACAGCCAAGTGCAGACCCTTCCAATCACGTAGAAACCATGCACATGGTCAATCAATCCTCTAATGCAGCTCTGCTGGGTAAAGCAAGCTCAGATCTCACTAAGAAACCTTTGTGGGCCTCCACAAAGAACCTGAATGATCAGAGAATTGGCAGAGAAGCGACCAGTGACCACCTCTCTCTCTCTCTCTCTCTCATTCCTCAATCCTGGAGGGCCCAGAATCTTTCTAAGCCCTACCCTACTACTTCCTGTGTCTCTCTATATGTCCTTGGTCCTCCAGAACCTCTATGGTTAATTTTGTTCAGCTAGTAGCTAGCTCCACCCTATGATTCAAAGCAAACTTTATTGGCAGTCTCGGTAGTGTCAGAGTACAATCAAAATATCCTACAACAGCAAGGCAAATCTTTTTTTGTAAAAAGAGTATGCTAGAACCCAAACAAGGGTAGCAAGCACACTAGGGCCAACATGGCTCCTGTCTTTTATCACTGATGTAAGTGATGACGAGACTTATCTTATTGGTGGGAGCTTGATACACAGCCTGATACCTCCTATAACCTAACTAACTTCCACTAAGCCTTCCAAAGCTTTCAACACTGTCCCTTTCACTGGGAGTGTCTGGGCTCCTGTTGCCCTTCATGTAGCTTTAATTAGATCTGTCTTCTGTCAGTATTTAAATAGGACTGTTGATCTGATGGTTTCCTCCCTAAAAATATACAATCCTTCCTCTAAATAAAACATGACTCTTAAAAACAAAGTAGCAACCTTAGATGTCTAAGCCTTCTAAAACACACCCTAACCTGATGGTTGATGAGGCTCCAAGCAGGCTGAGCAGGAAACAACTTGGTTCTAAAGTGATCATTTTTTCCCCATTAATTTTAAATAGAACGAGATAAGAACCTTGAAAACTGGGGCTTTTTTGTTTTTTGAGACAAGGTTTCTCTTTGTAGCCCTGGCTGTCCTGGAACTCGCTCTGTAGACCAGGCTGGCCTTGAACCTGCCCATAGAGATCCATCTGCCTCTGCCTCTTGAGTGCTGGTATCAAAGGCAAGCAGCAGCACCACCACCATAGCACCAGCACCACCACCAGGAATTTTTTGTTTTGGTTTGGTTTGGTTTTTGGTTTTTCGAGACATGGTTTCTCTGTGTAGTTTTGGTGCCTGTCCTGGAACTCACTCTGTAGATCAGGCTGGCCTTGAACTCACAGAGATCTGCCTGGTTCTGCCTCCCGAGTGCTGGGATCAAAGGCGTGCACCACCATTGCACAGCTATAGTTCAGGGTTTTGTTTGTTTGTTTGTTTTTGTTTTTGTTTTTGTTTTTGGAGCTGAGGACCTAACTCAGGGCCTTGTGCTTGCTAGGCAAGCGCTCTACCACTGAGCTAAATCCCCAACCCATATAGTTCAGTTTTTAACCTTTATCCTAGTGGCTAGGTTTTCATTCATTCATTCATTTTTTAAAATTATAAAACAATAAAAAAATCTTAAAACAGCCTTTATGCATATGATAGAGGTCCTTAAAGAGAAAAGTGAATAAATCCCTTATAGAAATCTATGAAAACACAAAGAGTGGAAGGAAATTAAGAAAGGCATTCAAGACCTGAAAGTGGAAATTAATCAATAAAGAAAATTCAAACTGAGGGAAATCTGGAAAGAAAAATATAGGAACTTGAACAGGAACCACAGAGGCAAGCTTCACTGCTGTATAGCAAATGTGTTGCTGATTGGTCAATAAATAAAACACTGATTAGCCATTGGCTAGGCCGGAAGTATAGGCGGGACAAGGAGGAGAATAAAGCTGGGAAGTGGAAGGCTGAGTCAGAGAGACACTGCCAGCCGCCACGATGACAAACAGCACGTGAAGATGCCGGTAAGCCACGAGCCATGTGGCAAGGTATAGATTTATAGAAATGGATTAATTTAAGCTGTAAGAACAGTTAGCAAGAAGCCTGCCACGGCCATACAGTTTGTAACCAATATAAGTCTCTGTGTTTACTTGGTCGGGTCTGAGTGGCTGTGAGACTGGCAGGTGAGAGAGATTTGACCTGACTGTGGGCCAGGCAGGAAAACTCTAGCTAAACTTCACCAACAGAATACAAGAGATGGGGGGCTGGAGAGATGGCTCAGTGATTAAGAGCACTGACTGTTCTTCCAGAGGTCCTGAGTTCAACTCCCAGCAACCACATGGTGGCTCTCAACCATCTGTAATGAGATCTGGCGCTTATAATAAATAGCTAAATAAAAAAAAATTACAAGAGATGGAAGAGATAATTTTAGGCATCGAAGACATGATAAAAGAAATAGAAAGTACCTTAGCCAAAAAAAAATAAAGTTAAATCTAACAAACTCTTGGTGGAACCTGGCGGTGGTGGCGCATGCCTTTAATCCCAGCACTCGGGAGGCAGAACCAGGCAGATCTCTGTGAGTTCAAGGCCAGCCTGATCTACAGAGTGAGTTCCAGGACAGGCACCAAAACTACACAGAGAAACCATGTCTCGAAAAACCAAAAACCAAACCAAACCAAAACAAAAAATTCCTGGTGGTGGTGCTGGTGCTATGGTGGTGGTGCTGCTGCTTGCCTTTGATACCAGCACTCAAGAGGCAGAGGCAGATGGATCTCTATGGGCAGGTTCAAGGCCAGCCTGGTCTACAGAGCGAGTTCCAGGACAGCCAGGGCTACAAAGAGAAACCTTGTCTCAAAAAACAAAACAAACAAACAAACAAATCACAGAAGAAACTTTCCCTAATCTAAAGAAGGAGATGCCTATCAAAGTATAAGAAGCATACACCAAAATAGATTGGACCACAAAAGGAAGTCCCTTTGGCACATAGTAATCGAAATACTAAACATATAGAACAAAGAAAGAATAGTAAAAGCTGCAAGTGAAAAAGAACAAGTATATAAAAGCATACCTATTAGAATTATACCTGATTTCTCAATGGAGACTCTAAAAGTCAGAAGTACCTGGACAGACGTCCTGAAGACTCTGAAACCACAAATTCAAGCCCAGGCTACCTACTATACCCAGTAAAACTTTCAGTCACCATAGATGGAGTAAATAAGACATTCTATAAATAAACCAAATTTAAGCAATATCTATCTACAAATCCCACGGAAGGTGCTAGGAGGTAAATGCCAACCTAGAAAGGTCAACTACATCTAAGAAAACACAGGGAATAAATAATTCCACACCAGCAAAGTAAAAATGACGGGGGGAAGCATACCCATCTACCCACCATCACCACCACAACCACCACCATCACTAACAACAACAACAACAAAATAACAAGAATAAATCATCATTGGTCATTGGTATTGCTCAACATCAACAGTCTTAATTCCCAAATAAAATGATACAGACTAACAGAATGAATGTGAAAACAGGATCCATCCTTCTGTTGCATCCATTAAACACACCTTAACATCAAGGATAGACATCACCTCAGGTTAAAGTGTTGGAAAAAGATATTCTAAGCAAATGGACCTAAGAAGCTAGTGTAGCCATTTTAATATCTGACAAAATAGACTTCAAACCAAACAAATAAGAAGAGATAGCAAAGGAAAGGAAAATCCACCAAGAGGACATTGCAATTACTAACATCTACAACCCAAACACAAGGGCACCCATATTTGTAAAATAAACACTCTACAGCTTAAATCACATACTGACCCTCACACAGTGATTGTGGGAAATGTCAATACCCCACTCTCACCAAGAGACAGGTCATCCAGACAAAAACTAAGCAGAGAAATGCTGGATAACTGGCATTATAAACCAAATGGACCCAACAGATATTTATAGAGCTGACTTCCCAGTGAGCTTAGACAACACAAGACAAACCAGCATCATGTACATATCAGTTATCAATATGCTTAGCCAATGTTACTGCAGTGGCTTGCAAATGGTTTCTGTTAGTTATTAGGTGGTGCTGTTTACCATTCGAGAAAAGTCACGAGGCACAACAAAACCCACTCTAAGAGTTTATTAAGGGAAGGGAACAGAAGGGGGTGCTTAGGCCTATTATTGAAAGATTATGCTGGAAGAGAGGGGAGGGGTATGTGGGGACTCGCTTTTAAGGAATTCCCCCACACATGCAAATATGGGCTTAGCTAACTACGCCATGCACGCGCATAGATTACATGATCATGCTGCACGCAAATTGCAAATTCCATAGGATATAAGGCCCTGAGATGACTAACTGTTTTGCCAGCACTTGCGTGGTCATAGAGGAGTGGCTAGGAATTCTATCAGTTTCTGTCCTTCAAGGAGAAATAGAAATGCTAAAAAAAATTTTTCTTTTGAAAACAGAATTTTTTTTTTAATTAGGAAGATGTAAAAAAAAAAACCACTTATTTTTAGGAGTTCAAGTGACTTCACGTAGGAAGTTTCTAACTACCATCAATGAATCATGAGTGTGGTATTTGTAACACTTTATTTCTGTAATGACATTTAGAATTGAAACATTACCTGTGGAGCAATACAATCTTTCTTTCTTAAAAAAAAAAAAAGTGTTTAAATAATGAAGGGCACCTCCACACAGCGGGGGGCTCCCTCCTGAACCCGGGGTTAGGCACAAACCACACCCAAACACTTGTTTTCACAGACAGATCCTTTAGTAAGCAGGGAAGAAATGTTAAAGTGGCTGCTTTCTGACTCAGGCAGAAAACAGCAGCGAATGACCTTGTGGGTGTCGTTTTTAAGGGGAGAGAGGGGAGGTCTGTGTTAGAATGGGCTAGGATGTCGTGGTAGAGGAGATGGGGATGAGGGAGAAGGGGAAGGGGACAAAGGAAAGTGGGCAGGGGGATTTGTCTCAGAGGGACAAAGGACTGTTCTGGATAGAGGGGAGACAGCCGTGGCACATGGGCAAATGGCAGTTTATAAAGATAAAATGGGATGAGGTGTTTAATTTTTGTTTGTTTGTTTGTTTGTTTTTCGAGATAGGGTTTCTCTGTGTATCCCTGGCTGTCCTGGCACTAGCTCTGTAGACCAGGCTGGCCTCAAACTCACAGACATCCGACTGCCTCTGCCTTCCGAGTGCTGGGATCAAAGGTGTGAGCCACTACCGCCCGGCAAGGTGTTTAATTTTAATTGGGCATATTGATTAGTGAGCCAAAAGGGGGTTCTGATTGCTGGACTGTCATAGCTGGACCTTGGTAATCAACCTCAGGAGGAAGAAGTGGCCAAATAAGGGAAGAGACCTTAGTGGCTAGCTTTAGGAATGTAATCTAATCAGTTTTTTTTTTTTTGTTTTTTTTTTTAGCAAGGCAAAAGGAGTCGGGGAGAAGGGCAGGGCCTGCCACAGCCAAGCTCGCCACATTCAAGCAGGCCAGAGTCCCTTCAGATAAGTTCTCCTGTGTAGCTCCGGCCAGCCTTTAACTCACAGACATTCATCTGCCTCTCTTGAGTGCTGGGATTAAAGGCATAATCCTTTCTTTTAAACAATGTGTTGCAAATATAAATGTGCATGCTAAGATAGGTCTATTCTGTGAGTTCTGGTTTTTTTTTTCCCCCCTCAGAGGGACAAAGGATGATTTGCAAGTTTTAATTCTCTGCTTCAAAATCATTCCAGAAGGTAATTCTAGAAAATATATACAAGTTAATGGTAATTTGACCAACTGCCTTGATTTAAATCCTGTTGAGGGTGAGGCCTAGTAGGAGTGGGGGGTTGAATTAGTTACTTTTGGTTGTTTTTTTCGAGACAGGGTTTCTCTGCTTAACAGCCCTGGCTGTCCTGGAACTCAATTTGTAGACCAGGCTGACCTTGAACTCACAGGGATCCACCTGCCTCTGCCTCCTGGATGCTGGGATTAAAGGTGTGTGTGTGACCACACCCAATTAGTTTTCTTTTT